CTAGTCTTGCTGAGGTGCCTGTTGCTAGTGTAGGTACTTGTGTTGACTCTAGTTTAGGAGCAGCTTCGGAGGACGCGTCGCTGTCTTTCACTCTGGACTCTGGAGCTTCGCACTGTTTCTTCCGCGACCACACGACGCTCACACCGCTTCCGGCGCCGGCCTCTGTCACACAGGCTGATCCCACTTCGGGACCAGTCACTGCTCGCTACACTACTACTCTTCCGTGCCCTGCTGTTCCCTCTGGGTCTCTGACCGGCTTCCACGTCCCCTCGTTCTCGAGGAACTTGGTGGGTGTGAGGCCTCTCGTGAGTCAGCATGTGGGTGTGTGGTTTGAGCCCTCTGGCGAGACGGCGGTTTGTGTTGACGGGGACTCTCACGCGCCTCTTGCCACCTTTACTGCTGAGCCGGGCTCCGGTCTCTACACACTTCACACTAGCTCTGGTGGGCAGCAGCAGCAGCAGCAGCAGCGGCGGCTACTGCCCCCGGCCCCTGTCCCTGCCCCCCGTCTCGTCCCTGTGTCTCACCAGGTTGCTGCGTCCCCCCATGTGGCTGTGTCTACTCAGGTTCCCGTGTCTGGTCCAGTTGCTGCGTCTTGCTCCTGCCGGTCGCTTGCCCACCCCACTGTTCTGTGGCACCACCGGATGGGGCACCCGTCCCTTCCTTGCCTGCGCGCTATGTCTCGTCAGCGTCTTGTGTTGAGGCCTCCCGCCTGTCTTGTCGTCGCTGCCGCCTTCGCTTGCACCACCGTGCGGTCCCTGTGTCGAGGGTCGGCTGCGCGCCACCCCTCACTCCTCCTCCCTTCGTCCGGCCACCGAGCCTTTTGAGACTCTCCACTTGGACGTCTGGGGCCCAGCTTCTCGCCCTGGCCCTGAGCGTGAGCGTTTCTTTCTGGTGGTCGTTGACGACTACTCCCGCTACACCACAGTGTTCCCCCTAGCGAAGAAGTCTGAGGTGACTTCTACGCTGATCAGGTGGTTGCTTACCACTGAGGACACTCGTGGTCGTCGTGTCAGCTGTCTTCACTCCGACCGTGGGGGTGAGTTTCGCTCTGGCGTACTCGCTGGATTCTGTCGCGAGCAGGGCATCCGTCAGTCCTGGACGCTTCCAGAGTCCCCACAGCAGAATGGGGTTGCTGAGCGCCGCATAGGCTTGGTCATGGAGATCGCCCGCACCTCCTTGACTCACGCCCGTGCCCCCCATTTTCTATGGCCCTACGCGGTTAGGTACGCCGCTCACCAGCTGAACCTCTGGCCACGTGTCTCTCGGCCAGAGGCTTCACCGACCAGTCTTTGGACCGGGTCCCCTGGTGTTGCGTCGCGGTTTCGTGTCTGGGGTTGCTTGGCTCGTTTCCGCGATACCTTTGCGGACAAGCTCTCGCCTCGCGCCATTCCCTGTGTCTTCCTTGGTTTCCTTGAGGACTCCTCTGACTTCACCTTTTACCACCCTCCCTCTCACCAATTCTTTGACTCTCGTGACATCCGTTTCGAGGAGTCCACCCCCTACTACGTCAGGTACCCCTGTCGAGGTCTCCCGGTTCCTCCTCCCCCTCTCTTCCTGACTTCCGCTCCCCCTCCTGCTCCCCCGGTACAGCCTCCCCCCCTGGTCCAGCCCCGTCAGGTGTGTCCCACGCTACCCCTCCCCCCTCGGTAGCCCCTCAGGTGCAGCCTCCTTCCCCGCAGTCCTCCTCGCAGCCTGCTGCAGACCCTGCGGGAGCCGGTGCTCGTGGAGAGGACCCTGCAGGTGCTCGCTCTAGAGGAGTTGGAGTTGGAGCTGAGAGCGTACCTGTGCCGAGTCCTAGTTCTGGGGGTGCTGGAGTTGGAGCTGAGCCCGTGGCTGCAGAGGACTCTGGTCTTTCGGGAGCTGGTGTTGGTCGAGCTGACCCTGGGGGTGCTGCGTCTGGGGGTGCGGGTGCGCCCCTCCGGGTTTTGGTGAGCCTGGCCGTGTTGCCGTTGGTGGTGCTGACTCTGGGGGTGGTGCGCCTGGTGCTCTGAAGGGCGGCCCTGGGGCTGCCGCGGCCCCGGACACTACTCCTCCCCCCCACCCCTACCCGACCCGGCACCAGGCTCGTGTTCGCCGTGCCCGTGAGGAGCAGCTGGAGTTGGAGAGAGAGAGCCTAGAGAGAGTTGCAGCGGCTGGAGGAGCAGCAACAGGAGCGGCTAGAGGAGCAGCAGCAGCAGCGGCTGGAGGAGCAGCAGCAGCAGGAGGAGCAGCAGCAGCAGCAGCAGCCGCAGCTGGAGGAGCAGCAGCAGCAGCCGCAGCAGGAGCAGCAGCAGCCGCCTCCTCCTCCTGTCTCTGGTCTTCGGACCCTCGGTCTCCCCTCTCGCTCTCCTTCCTCCTCCCCCTCTCCTCCTGTCTACGGTCCCACGTTTCCTCCTCCTGACTCCTCCCCCGCTGTTCTCTCTCGTTCTACGCCTCCGTTGTCTCCTCCTTCTCAGACTTGGGCCTCTCGTCGCTCTCCTCGTGCTCGTCCCTCGTCTCCTGTTCTCGTTACCGACCTTCGTACTGCCCTCTTTCGTTCTAGTCCGCCTCGTTCGTCTCCGTCTCTACTTCCTTCTCCGCTTGATTCGGCCCTCACTGCTTCCCTATCTACTCCTGTCACTGACTACTACCGCATGTACCGTCCTGTTCTCTCTCGTATTCTCGCCTCTCTTGTTACCGACCCTCGTGCCTCTCTGTCCTCTGTCTCCGCTCTTACTGCCGCAGTCACTGAGTTTGCCTCTACTCGCCGCCTTGACTACGCCACCAGTCTTGTGGCTGCTCCTCCTACCAGTCCTCTGGCCGTCGGGGGTGAGTCTGCCCTTGGCTGTGACGCCCTAGAGGACAGGCAGTTTGAGCTAGAGTTCTTGGCAGCCGCTTCGCCTCGTCTCTGTACCATGCCTGCCCGTCCCTAAGGGAGACCCCGACGCCCTTGACATACCGACTCCTCGCACTTACACTGAGGCAGTGTCAGGGCCTTGGGCCTCTCAGTGGAGAGCTACCATGGACGCAGAGATGGCCTCCTACAGATCCACAGGCACCTACGTCGACGAGGTTCCCCCCCCTGGGGCGAACGTAGTCGATGGCATGTGGATCTACAGGGTGAAGCGGCCACCGGGATCTCCTCCGGTCTTCAAGGCGCGTTACGTGGCTAGAGGTTTCAGTCAGCGCGAGGGAGTTGACTTCTTTCAGACCTTCGCGCCTACCCCAAAGATGACCACTCTTCGGGTGTTACTGCACGTAGCAGCACAGAGAGACTACGAGTTACACTCTCTAGACTTCTCCACTGCCCACGAGTTACACGAGGAGGTCTGGCTGCGTCGTCCCTCTGCCTTCACTGGCACTTTCCCTCCTGGGACCCAGTGGAGGCTGAGGCGACCGGTCTACGGTCTCCGTCAGGCTCCTCGTGAGTGGCACGACACCCTTCGTTCTACCCTGTCTGACCTTGGTTTCCAGCCGTCTTCTGCTGACCCGTCGCTGTTCGTTCGTCGTGGCACCACACCGTTCTTTGTTCTAGTCTACGTCGACGACCTGGTCTTCGCCACTGCTGACAGGGTTGCCTTGGCAGACGTGAAGTCCGAACTGCAGAAGAGACACACGTGCACTAACCTTGGTGAGATGCGCCACTACCTTGGCCTGCAGATCACCAGGGACAGAGCTGCTCGCACCATTACACTCTCACAGTCACACATGGTGCAGCAGGTCCTTCAGCGGTTCGAGCTTCAGCACTCCACAGTACAGCGCACACCTCTTGCTGTTGACCACAGACTCACTGGACCCTTTCTTGACGAGCCGTTTGAGCCTAGTGGTCCCTACGCAGAGCTGGTGGGCTGCCTCATGTACCTGATGACTTGTACTCGCCCGGACCTCGCCTACCCTCTTAGCATCCTTGCTCGCTTTGTTGCGCCAGGGAGACACCGTCCTGTTCACTGGACGGCAGCTGTGAGGGTGGCGAAGTACCTAGCGACGACATCAGGTGTGGGGCTGGTTCTTGGAGGGCAGCAGTCTGTCGTACTTACTGGTCACTATGACTCTTCTTACGCTGACGACGCTGAGACTCACAGGTCTACTCAGGGGTACTGCTTCAGTCTGGGTTCTGGAGCTGTTTCTTGGAGGTCCACGCGTTCCTCCTCGGTCTCGACCTCTACAGCTGAGGCTGAGATCTACGCTGGTGCCATGGCGGTGCAGGAGCTGCGCTGGTTGACCTTCTTGCTCGCCGACCTTGGTGAGCGGCCGAGCTCTGCACCGACCTTGTTCACTGACAACAAGGCGTCGATTCTCCTCTGTCGGGAGCCACAACTGGAGAGCAGAGTGAAGCACATTAACGTCAGGTACTTTCTTCTACGAGAGTTGCAGAGGCGTGGACAGGCTCGCTTCGAGTTTGTGGAGTCCGAGGCCAACACTGCAGACATCTTCACCAAGGCGCTTCAGCCTTGTGACCACCAGAGGTGTTGTGTGCAGTTAGGCCTTGTTGACACAGGTTCTCGTGGTGTTTAGACTTGAGTTCTCTGCTTGCTTTGCTTGTACACTTTACTTATATCTTTGTGAACTCTTGGACTGGCCTTGTGGCCTTGTGCTCGGAGTGTGTGGTGACGTTGTGATCCACCCTGAGCTTTCTTTGCTTTTCTTGACTGGTCTTGTGACCGTGCGCTTTTGGTTTTGCTTGACACCCCTCACTTAGGCTATGGGGGTGTGTCAGATGTTGTAGCCTGTAGTGAGGTTTGTCTTAGGGGGTACAGATGTTAGGGTTTGCTATATGTACCCCAACTCACATCAATGAACACACAATTCAGTTTTTGACACTTACCGGCTGGTCTTTTAGCCGGAACTATACGGTATAAGATTGGGGAGTGTATTGTACTTGGTAAATGATTTGGTAGTGGTTTTTTGGGCTGCTGTCATAAGCAGTTTCATATTTTGATACAGGTAGAGCAAAGAATTCAACAAAACAGATTAATTCAGGACATCCATATGGGGCGAGGTCAGGTACAGACGTGAAAAAGAACGTAATTGTTTTGCTCACATTACTGCACATTATCTCCCAAGCGCAACAAGACTAGCGCCAGTGATGCACCCACGAGATTTGGCAACCATCCACCCAGCAGCGGACTGATCACATGCAGCTGAAAGGAGAGTCCAGGGCAGCACAACGAGTAGAAGAGAACTTATGGGACGCCTAAGAAACAAACGGCAAACAGCGTCCGACTGATCAGGTGCAGCTGTACAGAGATTCAAGAGCGGCAATAAGAGTGGGAAACAATTTCTGATTCGCCTAGTGAATAAACATCCAGCACCAGACTGCATCAGACTGCACCAGACTGCCTGATAACGTGCAGTTGAAAGGAGAGTTTAGGGTAGCAAAATAGAGTGGGAAACATATCTAGTTACCACCAGGAAAAAATACACATTCAAACTGTAGAAGAGAAAAGCTACAACTGGAGACGTAAACACCCCTATTATAAAAATTTTAATAACAAATGGATGCAAGCGCGGGCAATGGGTAGAGATGAGATTGGAAGAGAAGAAAATAGAGCATACTGTAGAATCAGGGGAGCTTGGGAGATTCAAGTGTACCTGGGCTAGCAGGACGCTGGTGACAGAGAAAGAGAGTAGTCTATTCTTGAGGCGCCTCAACAATAGGCGCTTCAAAAGTAGGAGCGTCAAAAGTAGGCGCTTCAAAAGTAGGAGCGTCAAAAGTAGGCGCCTCAGAAAGAGAACCTAATGTACCTGGGCTAGAAGGGCGCCAGTGACGGAGAGAGAGTAGTAGGTGAAGATGACAAACACCGCAAGAGCGAAGCCGACCTGCATGGGAGAGGTGAATAGGGTTGAAAGGGGAGGCAAGGGAGGATAGTGAACAGGGCGAGCATGCCGGTGAGGGAGAGAGAGAGTAGTCGGTGAAGATGACAAACACTGCAAGAGCGAAGCTGGCCTGCATGGGAGAGGTGAATGGAAAAGGAGGGAACGGCGAGGGATAGTTATGGCACAATGCACATAGCATTAGAAAAGCAGAGCGAAGTGAGAAGAAGTGACGTGCTTATTAAAGCCATGGGGCTTCCGAATCTAGTCCCCTGACCTGCTGCCTTTTGCATTGCAAATAGCATCGCCAGGGAAGAGTGCTGTTAGTGAGCAGAGAAGTGACGTGCCTATGCAACAAAAAAAAAAAATCCCTACTTCTTACTTTCTCACCTATCGATTGCCCCCTCACCTGTTGCTTTCCCACTCATCTGTCACTTACCCACTCATCTGTCACTTACCCACTCACCTTTCCCCCTCACCTGTCACTTTCCCTTCCAGCTGTCGCTTTCTGAACTGCAGCTGGGCGGCAAAGGGAGCTACAAGAAGGACAACACCAACCAAGGAGATCTCCTAATGCAAGGAATCCCTACCTTTTACTCCCTCTCTCGCTCTCCTCACCTGTCGCTTTCTGATCTGCAGCTGCGCAGCAAAGAGAGCTCCAAGGATGGCAAAGAGGAAGGTGGCGCATGGCAGGGCCACCCGCTGGTGGATTTTCACCTGTAATTGGGAATTACGCAGGGTAAATTACTCTTGGAAATGCAGAGAGGGCCAACAACGTGAGCAAAGAGGAAGGTGGCACCTGGGAGGAGATCACATTGGACTAATGGGAGGGACTAGACGAGAGACCACAGTGGTCCCATACCACTACCATACCAAGCCACTGCCATGCCATGCCACTACCATGCCACTGCCATGCCACTGCCGTGCCATGCCACTACCACGCTATGCCATGCCATGTCATGCCATGCCATGCCATGCCATGCCATTCCATGCCATGCCATGCCATGCCATGCCATGCCACTGCCATGCCATGACATCCCGCTGCCATACCAAGCCATTGTCATACCAAGCGACAGCCATACCATGCCACCATACATGGTCAAATGACGAGTCGAGTTTTACTCGACTCGTTTTAACGAGTTCTTTTTGTCCACCGGATCGAGTCTAGTAAATCTCGTCGAGTTTGTTTTGGCTCAGGCCCGGCTCAACCTACTCGAGCTTTTTTATGACTTGTGAGCTTCCCTAGAAAAACTCGAGCGAGTCGAAAAAAACTCGACTAGAAGCATCCTACCAGGCACCCATAACAGTGCCAGATCCGCGCAGATCTGGTGGCGATATGTCAGATACTACAAGAAGAAATGCTACAGCTACTCTAATCTGGAAACACAGATCTGAAGAGTTGTAATTTGGGACATTTGTACCCCCCCTCTGTGGGCCAAATGTCTCGTGAGTTTTTCAAAGCTCGTCAAGCTAAAAAAACTCGCGAGGTCTAAAAAACTTGCCTTTCAAGCCAAGTTTTTCATGAATTTTTTAAAACTCCTGAGTAAAACTCGACTCGGCTTGTCGAGTTTTTTGGACAAAATCAAAACTCCGAACTCGAGGTTTTTGAGTACCTAAAACGAGGCGAGGAAAAACTCGACTCGATTGCCCATGAATGCATGCCACTGCCATACCAAGCCATTGCCATGCCATGCCACGCCATGCCATGCCATGCCATGCCATGCCATGCAATGCAATGACACTGCCATGCCATGCCACTGCCAACAGAGAAATCAGCCCCACACCTCTTGCTACAGCCACAGCCAGTCACAAAACCAGTATTCGCATACAAATCCGCTCCCTGTCGTTGCAGCAACACTGAGACAGTTGCTGCAGCAACACCACACCAGACCCACCCCAACCCCACTCACCAGTATTCTTGTGGCCTCCCGATCATTGCAACAGCGGCGGTACAGCTGCTGCAGCCGCACCACCTGCAGCAGAGATAGGCATGTGAGAAGCACTCACCAACCCCACCCACCCACCAGTATCCGTGTGGCCTCCCGATCATTGCAACAGCGGCGGTACAGCTGCTGCAGCCGCACCACCTGCAGCAGAGATAGGCATGTGAGAAGCACTCACCAACCCCACCCACCCACCAGTATCCGTGTGGCCTCCCGATCATTGCAACAGCGGCGGTACAGCTGCTGCAGCCGCACCACCTGCAGCAGAGATAGGCATGTGAGAAGCACTCACCAACCCCACCCACCCACCAGTATCCGTGTGGCCTCCCGATCATTGCAACAGCGGCGGTACAGCTGCTGCAGCCGCACCACCTGCAGCAGAGATAGGCATGTGAGAAGCACTCACCAACCCCACCCACCCACCAGTATCCGTGTGGCCTCCCGATCATTGCAACAGCGGCGGTACAGCTGCTGCAGCCGCACCACCTGCAGCAGAGATAGGCATGTGAGAAGCACTCACCAACCCCACCCACCCACCAGTATCCGTGTGGCCTCCCGATCATTGCAACAGCGGCGGTACAGCTGCTGCAGCCGCACCACCTGCAGCAGAGATAGGCATGTGAGAAGCACTCACCAACCCCACCCACCCACCAGTATCCGTGTGGCCTCCCGATCATTGCAACAGCGGCGGTACAGCTGCTGCAGCCGCACCACCTGCAGCAGAGATAGGCATGTGAGAAGCACTCACCAACCCCACCCACCCACCAGTATCCGTGTGGCCTCCCGATCATTGCAACAGCGGCGGTACAGCTGCTGCAGCCGCACCACCTGCAGCAGCGGCATGTCGTCCAAACTACGACTGCAGTCCGCCTCTGCCAGGTCCAGCGGTCCGCGATCAAGGGTAAATTCCCCTGTGAAAAGAGATGCAATGAGTGACATTGAAAGGGGATGGAGAAGCATGATTGGGTGTCATGTCACAGCCTCTGCCAAAATTTCGACTGCCATCTGCCTCTGCCAGGTCCAGCGGTCCACGACAAAGGGTAAATTCCCCTGAGAAAAGAAGAGCCAGAAACTGTAAGGATTACTGAGGGAGGAGAGAGGTGTGAGCAGAGCACCAGCAGCAACAACCGCTTGTCCACAGAGCGGCTTGGGAGCTTGGGTGTGCATCTTCCATGCCTTGGCCGACCCGAAACCAGGAGGGCACTCGCGTGAGGTACAGCAGCGCATTCATGGGCTTGTCTTGACTAACAGTAGCAATTGATAAACCGAGGCACAGGCTGAGCCACGCCGAGCCAAGCCGAGAGGGTGGAGGGTAGAGATTGACGAACTCACGGTGCTCTGTGAACGGCCGTGCTGCTGCGAGCACCCACGATGGTCTATCCAGCCCAGCGCTGCTGCTGGAGCCACCCATTTTATCACACTCGTTCTGCTGTTGCTGCTGCTCATGCTGGTAGGGGCTCTCAGCTGCTGTTGCTTGCAAGCTTTGTGCCCCTTGCGCTAAGCCTGCTGCATGTGCAGAGCCTGCTGCTGCTGCCACAGGTCTCTCAGCTGTTTTAAGCTGCCCTCGCATTCCCTCTCCTCGCTGCTGCTGCTGCTGCTGCTGCTGCTGCTGCCGCCGCACCTCTTGCCTACTCCTGAATGTTTTCTCCCTCTGCTGCAGTCTCCCTCTGCCCTTGTTCCCGTGCCTCCCACCATGCGCCCTTCCCACACCACCCCTGCCTCGCTGCTGCCTCCTGCTCCCCTGCTGCTCCCCTCCACAAACCCCACCCCTCCCCACATCCCCACTCTCTGTATTCCCGACCGCTGCTGCTTGTGCACTCGGCTGCTGCTGCTCACGCAAAGACACATGCCCTTGAGCATTTGCAAGCTCTTGCACGTTTCCATGCTCACCAATGGGTAGCAGTGAGGTTGGCAGTGGCGGCAGTAGCGCCAGTGGCGCATGCAGCTGGTCTCCAGTCAGTGCGTTGTGATCGGCAGATGAGGAAACAAGCACGTGCTCTGTACCATTAACAAAAAACCAGTGACCTGGCCGGTAATTCAGTGTTTGGTCATGTTTATAAGGAGTACGGCTGCCCATTGAAAGGCCCAAAGTGGGGGTCCTCTGAAGGAAGGAGAAGGGGAAACAGGAGGAGGGGCGTGAGGGAGGGACCCAACTAGCACTCTCGGCTGCAATGACCCGAACCACACTGCCTGCATCTGCACGCATGCGTGATGCTGATATTGCTGCTGATGACGCTGGTAATGCCAGCGATGGTGGTGATGATGATGCTGATGCTGATGATGACGGCAGTAGTGCTGACAGCGCAGGTGATTGGGACGATGGTGGTGGTACGAGCGCCTGTAGCGAGGCAGGTGGCAGCGAGGCGATAGAGGATGCTAATAAGGAGGACTGAAGTGAAGGTGATTGTAACGAGGAGGGGGAGTGCATGTGCTCGGTGTTGGTATGGGCTTTGCTCTGCATAGGGTGAGAGTTGGCTCTGCTCTGGTCCACGAGTGTGACTTGCTGCATCTCCCCACGATCACATCGCCTGGCGTAGAAGAGAGAGCGCAGATCCCCACTCTTGCTGCCAGGGAAACCAGGGGGGCAGAACGGAAAGAAACTAATTGAGAAGACTCGGAAGTTGAAAACACTTCAAGTGAACATGTCAGAGTGGGGCAAGGGGAAAGGGCATGAAAGCGGCGCATAATGCGCGTGTGATACAGCAGGGATTTGTATTTTGAAAGGTGCACGCTTGAATATAGTACTTGAATTTGCTTCGGAAGGGTACTCTTGCATTCAGGGTCAAGTAAGCTCTTCTCTCTCTCCCATCCTATCACCTCACCTGAAGCTGGGAAAAACGATGGGATAGCGCATGTTTGCCTTGTGGTGTGGTTGACGGCCTTTAACCTGCACACGTGCATTGGTGGTGGTTGGTTGTTGTATCACATGCTCATGGCACAAAGCATCCCGGCTTTTGAGGCGCCTCAAGAATCGCACTGGTGGTGGGGTGGGTGTATCACATACCCATCATCACATGGCATAGCTCATCTCGATTCCCGTGCCTATAAATACTGCTTACCAGCTCTGTTGCTATGTCCGGTTTCCTTCTTATCACAAGAAATAAACCGAATAAATTAGTTCTTGCATTTTCCGCGAATGATTCTCATAGCTAATCTCGCGGCTAGAAAACTGTTCAGCAGCTCTGCTGCCATGTCTGGTATGGGAAAATTGAAGAACGATTCTATTCAGTTTCCTTTCTTTAGGCGCCTCTAACTGAGGCAATTTTTCAAGGCCAGCCAGGGATACTGCATACGTACCTCCTCTGATAAGAAAACGGGATAAGATATGGTCTGGTTTACTTTACTCACAACCCAACGAGTGTCCTCCCTCGAAACACCATAGTACTATACACCATAGCACCATAGTGCTCAAACACCGTAGTACCGTACTTACTCTAGTTGACTGAAAAAAACTCCTCAATTTGACGCAGAGCATCGGCTCATACTTGGAGAACGTAAGGCAGTAGCACAGAGCAGAACCAAAACAGTCTGGGACGAGCTGGTACTAGCAGCATGAATGGGTACGACAAACGGAGGTGGTGCCGGTAACGGTAATGAGACAGGCAACAAGATAGGTGCAACATAAGGAGAAGCAATTTTGGGGTCAACTGAGAAAACGGTGCCACAAACGGAGAGCAGCTAGTGCAGGTAGTAGCCCAAGTGAGCAGAGCGGGCAAAGAGATGCTAGAAAGGGGCAACAGGTCCCATATGTATGCTCTGATCTTACAGTGCGCTAGAGAGGGGCAACATATGGAGAGCAGAGCAGACAGAGAGTGCCATGAACGAAACATGAAATGAAGGCGCTACAGATGCTACAGGTGTGCCACATGTTTTAATAAGGGGCAACATACGTAGTGCAGCTGGTGCAGCCAGCTTGAGGTGTTGGGTTGAGCGAGCAGAGTGAGGAGAGGAGACGAATGCCATGCAGTCATCACTAACTGCAGGTGCTATGGATCGCACATGGCTGTTAGTGCTGATACTGGTGCTAGTGCCTCTGGTGATACTAAGGGCCAACGTACAAAGAGCAACTGGTGCAGGTGGTGGGGTGAACGAGCAGAGCGGGCAGACAAGTGCCATGCATGGAACAAGAGGTGCTACAGGTGCTACAGCTGCTACAGCTGCTACAGCTGCTACAGGTGATACAGGTGATACAGGTGCTACAGGTGCTACAGCTGCTACAGCTGCTACAGCTGCTACAGGTGATACAGGTGATACAGGTGCTACAGGTGATACAGGTGATACAGGTGCTACAGGTGCTACAGGTGCTACAGGTGCTACAGGTGATACAGGTGATACAGGTGCTACAGGTGATACAGGTGCTACAGGTGCTACAGGTGATACAGGTGCTACAGGTGATACAGGTGATACAGGTGCTACAGGTTTAGGGTTTAGGCCAACATACAGAGAGCAGCTGGTGCAGGTGGTGAGGTTAGCGAGCAGAGAGAGCAGAAAAGTGCCATGCATGGAACATCAAAATGCAGGTGCTACAGGTGCTACAGCTACTACAGGTTCTAGAAAGGGCCAACGTACAGAGAGAAGCTGGTGCAGGTGGTGGGGTGAGCGAGCAGAGCGCACCGCCCTGACCATGAGAGAGGCGCGGTAGTTGGTGAAGGGAGCGAGAAGCTGCAGGGATGATGAGATGAGGGGTGATGGGAGGTCATGAGGTGTGAGGAGTGGTGCGGATGGGTAAAAAGGAGCGGAAGGGTTTGTCAGATGCATTGTGGAGCAAAGCCCACCGCCCTGACCATGAGAGGGGCATGGTGGTTGGTAAAGGGAGCAAGGAGCTGCCGGGCCGGGGTGATGAGGGGGGATGAGCGGTGATGAGGAGTGAGGAGGGGTGAGGAGGGGTGACAAGGGGCGAAAGGGTTCATCAGATGTATTGTGCTTGTGCAGCAGTGCAGCACATGCAGCATGGCTATGTATGAAGAGGTGGAGGAAAGGGAGGAGAATGGTGGTGGGCAGGTGATGAGGGGTGGGAGGAAAAACAGTGGAGGGGGGATGAGGTGATGAGGGGTGGGAGGAAAATATTGGAGGAGGGGTTATGAGCGGTGGGAGGACATCCAGTGCTCAAGCTTATCGATGAGTTGTGAGGCGGGGTAATGTCTTTACTTCTGAGTTGCAACGACGCCTACCGGAGGTCAGCAGTTAAGGGACGTGTGCATGCATGGTGGCGGTAGAAGTGTGCAGTGCAGTGCAGTGCTACATACATACATACATACATACATACCTCAGCCCAGGCGTAGTGCAGCAGAGTGCAGGCGAGGAAGAGATGAGCTGCCACTGTGAGGAAGCGCGTCATGCGTATGCCCGATGCGCGGATGGCTGTGGGGGGGAAATGGAGGGGGAGGGTGGGAAGGAAAAGGGAGAGGGCAGATTGGAGGTGAGCCCTCGAGCAAGCAAGCGCGTCATGCGTATGCCCCATGCGCGGATGGCTGTGGGGGGGAAATGGAGGGGGAGGGTGGGAAGGAAAAGGGAGAGGGCAGATTGGAGGTGAGCCCTCGAGCAAGCAAGCGCGTCATGCGTATGCCCCATGCGCGGATGGCTGTGGGGGGGAAATGGAGGGGGAGGGTGGGAAGGAAAAGGGAGAGGGCAGATTGGAGGTGAGCCCTCGAGCAAGCAAGCGCGTCATGCGTATGCCCCATGCGCGGATGGCTGTGGGGTGGAAATGGAGGGGGAGGGTGGGAAGGAAAAGGGAGAGGGCAGATTGGAGGTGAGCCCTCGAGCAAGCAAGCGCGTCATGCGTATGCCCCATGCGCGGATGGCTGTGGGGTGGAAATGGAGGGGGAGGGTGGGAAGGAAAAGGGAGAGGGCAGATTGGAGGTGAGCCCTCGAGCAAGCAAGCGCGTCATGCGTATGCCCCATGCGCGGATGGCTGTGGGGTGGAAATGGAGGGGGAGGGTGGGAAGGAAAAGGGAGAGGGCAGATTGGAGGTGAGCCCTCGAGCAAGCAAGCGCGTCATGCGTATGCCCCATGCGCGGATGGCTGTGGGGTGGCGGTGTGGGGAGATGGTGGAAAGGGAAAGGGCAGATGGCTGTGGGGAGGGGTGAGCCACCAATACATGATTGGGTCACGGAAATGGCAGACGTCCCTTGAGAAAAGAAATTCAGGTACCAAGGCAAGACGCATCACGGGACGGGACGGGAACAGGACGTGGGGCAGAAAGGAAGGGCGTGGTTGGGCAAGAGGGTTGTACCCACGACCTCATTGTCGGAGGACATGCGTGCAAGGCAGAGCAGTGGCGCCAGGAGTGATGCCATGGGGAGAGTCAGCCCTACATAGAACTGCGGTGATGGGGAGGGGAGGGGGATGCGGGGAGTGATGGGATGATAATAAGGAGGGTGAGAGATTGGGTGAAGGGAGCAGCGGTGCAAGCAGCAGTGCAAGCAGCGATGCCATGGGGAGAGTCAGCGAGACCCATGCACAAGGCAGTGGGGAAGGCCCAAAGGGAGGGAGTTGACTTTTGAGTCGACTCAAACGTCAAGCAGCAATGCCCAAAGGGAGAATCAGTGAGACCCATGCAGAACTGCAGTGGGGAAGGCCCAAAGGGAGGGGGGGGGGAAGAAGGAGGGGGAAGTGGGTGATGGTGTGTATTAACAACTGAGTGTGGATGCAAGAGCAAAGTAGAAGGCAAGACAGATCACGCAAATAGGGGAGAAGAGCTAAGGATATCGGAAAAAAGGAGAGGCGGGGTGGGAAAGGAGGGAGGGGAACGTAGAAAAGAAGGCTTGAACGAATGAATGAATGGATAAAGAAGGGGAGTGCCACTCACAGGGGTGCGGAGCAGCACGATCTGCAGTGTGTAAAAGGCCTTGTGGATGACTGACGGTAGGGCAGCAGACTGGAAAATTGTCATAGCCTCAAAGGCGGTCGCTGGGAGGGGGAGGCAGGGGAGAGGGGAGGAGCAGGGGAAGGCAAGCAGGGGAGAGGGGAGGAGCGGGGGAAGGCAGGCAGGGGAGCAGCACGATCTGCCGCGTGTAGAAGGCATTGCGGACCACAGACGGCAGGGCAGCGGACTGGAACACTGCCATTGCCTCGTGAGCAGTTGCTGGGAAAGCAGTCGCAGGGAGGGAGAATGTAGGAGAGAATGGAGGGAGGAAGAAGGGATGGGGAAGCTGGCTGGGAGGGCCTTGTGGATTATAGACGGGAGGGTAGGTAGGCGGCTGAAATACTACCATTGCCTCGTGGACAGTCGCTGGGAAGGGGACGGGGGCGGGGGAACGAGCGCTGGGGAAAAGGAATGAGGAAGAGGGGAAGGGGAAGAGGGGACGGGAAGGTGGGAGGGCTGGGTGGATAAACGACAGCAGGACATTGGATGGAAACACGGCCATAGCTTGTTAAGCGGGTGCTTGTCTTCAAAAGAGGTCGTCACTGATAGCTTTCACCAATGGAGAGTGCGAGGAGGGTGCATGCGGACAAACCCAGCAGCAGAGGCTGCAACAGCAAGCATGGACAATTTTCACCTACGGAAAAAACTATTATTTTCTGAGACTTCTTCAAATATAATCGTCTATCATGTAGCAGCAGAGGCCGCAGCAACAAGCATGGTCGATTTCTACCTACACCCTTTTATCCTCCTCACAATCTCACAAGCTCACAAGCTCTCTTCATGTTCAAACTCTCATGCTCCTGCTCCCTGTGATGCCTGGCCACTCGTCTCGTCTTGCCCAATCGTTCTCCATGCTCCACTGAGGCGACTTTCCACTCTACAAGTTGAACTTCTCCCCAAGTTTCTGCTCAGTTCTGAGACATACATGTCAAAACTCAAAACTTGAGACATCTCAAAACTATTCTCCATGCTCAACTGAGGAGACTCTCTACTCTAGAAGCTGAACTTCTCTCCATGCTTCTGCTCACCTATGGAGAGTGCCAGGAGAGTGAACGCGGACAAACCCAGCATCAGAGGCTGCAGCAGCTCCAGCAGCAAGTATCGATCCAGCACCTTCAAGCCCTCCCACCACTGTTGCACCCATACAGTCACTCTCTTTACAGGCACGCTCGCCATGATCTCTTCCTGCAGAATCATCGCCTCGTCCTGTAACAACCGCCCTTTTCGCACAAGGCTTCGCACAGCAGGCTTTTTGAGAAGCTCCCTTCGCAATTGCCTCTGTTTCTTGGCCAGATTCGCAAGGTTCTGCTGATGCCGATCAATGACCAAGATTTGAAGCCTCGCAGTGGCGTCTATTAGGGTTTGCATCTTCGGTCCGACGGCCATCCGACATCGAATCCTCCAAGGAACTTTCTCGGGTAAGATGATCCGAAGGCCTAGATTCGTCGATTCCTGGCGGCCAGACGCACTCCGTTGCATCCTGGCCGTAGGAATACTCGTCATCATGTCCGGCGTGACACCTTCTGAGTCTGAACGATACTCCTCGTCGTCTGTGCTTTCTGTATCATGTGCCCTCGGTCTCTCACTGCTTTGAGTCGACTCAAACGAACGAGACTCGTCCTCTGTGCGTTCTGTATGGGCCCCACTAGGCCTCTCACTGCCGTCGTCTCCTTTCGCCCATTCGTCTCTTCCCGCCATCGCTCGGCAATACCCATGCTGCTGCTGTGCGCGCGAGATGCGCTCACAGCCGTCGTCGCAGTCGAAACAGCCTCGGCCTTTCTGTAATACTCGCCATGATGATTGACGACGGAAGGATTTGACGAACCTGAGACCTGAATGCCGCTTTTCCAGAGGAAATATAAGTGGCGCAGGCAGGTGGTCGGGATTACAGAGGGAGAAGTAGGCGGATCTGCGGAGGAAAAGCGACGATCGGGAAGGTGAAATTACTGGCGAGCTTGTTGTGGGCATTACTGAAAGTGTCATGCTGTCAAGGGAGTGAACGGTGACGACGCCGCCGCTCACGGCGCCTTCATCGATGTTAGACAACAGGAATAACGGCTCACTACGCACCCGGTCAAAAGTTACATTTCACAGGCTAAACAAACATGGAGAAAATGTCCCGCCAACCGGATTCGAACCAGTGACCTAAGGATTGCCACACTACAGTCCTCCGCTCTACCAACTGAGCTATAGCAGGATGGCTTAAATGTAAAACAAAATTTATAACAGCATCTTGAAATGGGGTGATGGTACGCTTCTTTATTCTGACTATCCTGTTTCTCTACAAGCATTAGATAATGTCTTGCAAACAAGCAGATGCAGGTGGCAGCTGGGAACCAATCATGCAGCTGCACGCGCTAGCTTTGACTACCTTAGTCCCTCCACTCCACTTCATCATTAAGGGAACATTCCTGAAGCGCGTCACAAAGGCCTCGCGTCTCAAACGAAGAGATGCAGTGCGGTGGAAATTTTCAATTCGTAGGTGTAATGCGGTGCAGACCGGTACATTGGTTTTATGACGGGATTGAGACATTTGTGTCTAGACAGGAATGTACCCTAAGTCCAAGTCAAGATTTGCAAGCAAAGCTTCGACTAACTGCCAGTGCTCTCCTCCACTCTACCTCAACAACCCAGATCTGGAAATCCCAGTCCACGTGCATGCGTACTACCAGGCTTTGACTACCTACCAAGCTTCGACTACCTACCACCACTGCTCTCTACTCTCCACATCATCAGCCCCAAATCTGAAGATTCCAGCCCACATGCATGCAACACACGCTTCATCGCCGTTACAACAGCTAGCCAGTTCTTACCCGCAACCGGATCCATACAACTTCTGAGGCGCCTTAAAAGTCGCTCTCAAGGTACCTGCAACCGATTCCACACCACAGACATGGAGATCCAGTTCAGCTTGAATCTGCTCTCCTCCACTGCCTCTACCTCCACTGCCTCTACTTCCACTGCCTCTACCTCCGCTGCCTCTACCTCCAAATGCGGCACCTGCTCCTCACACGGCGCCTTGTACGTGCAACTGAATCCACACCACAGACATGGGAGATCCGGCTCAGCTTCAAACTGCTCCCCCCCACCGCCTCAACCACCTCCTCCTCCTCCTCCTCCTCCTCCTCCTCCTCCTCCTCCTCCTCCTCCTCCTCCTCCTCCTCCTCCTCCTCCAAATGCAAAACCTGCTCCTCTCATCCGCTGCTCACCCCATCCGCTTCAGTCACAGGCTGCTCCCTTCCATCTCCTCCACCTCCAAATGCTATACCTGCTCCTCCCACACCCCTGCCCACACCATCCACGCTATAACATCACCCGCTATAAGCAACTGGGCCCACAGAGATAGCCATTGCCCCCCCCTCCTGCATGCCCTCAGCTTCTGCCTGAGACCGAGCCTGCTCTCCTCCACCTCCCCCTCCAACAACGGTCCCCGCTCTGCTCCTCCCACTCCCTGCTCCGGCTCCTCACACACCCTACCCATTCCAACCCATCCTCGCTTCAAACCCACCCTCTATAAGCATAGAGACATGGGCATTCGCCTTCTCCTGCACGTCCCAAGTTTCAACTACCGACTACTCTCCTCCACTCCACCTCCAAATGCGGCACCTGCTCCTCCCACCCCCTGCCCCTGCTCCTCACACACCCTGCCCACCAACCCCATCCTCGCTGTAAAATCACCCTCTATAAGCAACCGGGTCCACAGACATGGGCATTCCCCCTCGCCTGCACGTCCCCAGCTTCAGCTTCAAGCTACTCTCCTCCACCTCCTCCTCCTCCAAATGAGGCACCTGCTCCTCACACGGTGCCTTGTGCTTGCACGACGGTTCAGGCCCCTTACCCGCCCTCTCCCCCCCCGGCAACCACGCTGGCCCGTACACAAAGTCCCCTGAGGGGAACACAGGGGGTTGCTGGCGGAAGGGGGGGCGCGGGCGGGGAGGCGGAGGCGCGGATTCGGAAGAATTGGCACCAGGGGGGGCACTGGCGGCGGTTTCAGGTGTAATTTCGAGTTTACCCGGGCCGCTGGAGGGTGAAAAGGGTCCAGGGGAAACTCGCCGGAAAATTGAGTCTAGTTTTACGCCCATGTGGGTTAAGGCGGAGTGTAGCCGGTTCTGAGGGCACAGGACTTCCGTTACAAGCGCATACCCCGCTCGCATAAAGATTCGATATAAGTCCTTCCCGGCCTTATCCGTCTCTACAAGCCAGGTTCGGATGTCGTAGGCTCGGAACGGAAAGCAGTGAAGCGCCGATGCTTCCGCGCCCTCGACGTCTATACTCGCGAAATCAACGGTGTGGATCGCGTGTTCGTCTAGGATCTCCTCCAACGGACGGCATCGGGCGTAGCCTCGTGGAACAGGACCCGTCGGATTGAATTCGATCTCATTGTCGTCCGTCGATGCTCCCTCCCCTCCTGCTGCTGCCGCTCCAGACGGATCCTCCTTAGTCACCCTCCCGTACATCCCGCCTTGAAAATCCATTTTAAGAGTCGCGTTTCGGTCCAAAACGCACGCAGGAACTACAGTGCACGTCCGCTTATACTTCCCATACTGGTGATAATACTTTGGGTTTGGTTCCACGCACAGCCCGCGCCAGCCTAAGCACCGGTCGAAGAAATAAGTGTTGCTGAAATGCTCGGGGTGGCTAGATCCTATGTCTACATACACGCCCGAGCCGTACGGAATATGTCGGAAATAGTTATGAAATAATAGCCAGTCCTGACTCGCCTGAGAGAAGGACCGCGCTAGCGACCCCGGAGCGCCTTCCGCTATAGCGACGCATCGGTCTACGATCTCCGGATCGGCGAATTCGCGTATAGCGGGGATGAGGTGGCTGGTGGGGAAATGGGTTGACGGGAGGAGCGGCGGAGGGGCGAAGAGCAGCGGGCCGACGAGGAAGGTTCCGAGAAAGACGCCTACGGCGGCGCCGGCAGAGATTAGAGCCGTGGGGTTGGACTTCGCAGCTGCGATCAGCTCCCCGCGCCGCCGCCATAGCTTGAGAAGCGGCGCGACGATTAAGAGACGGAGCCGCGCCGGCAGGTCTGATGGGGCAGAAAGGTGGAAGGAAAGATGTGGAATGGGGGAGGGGGAGGGGAGGAGAGGGAAAGGAATGAGTGGTTTTAGCAGGGTAAGCTGGTCACATAGAAGCGGAGGAGGTGCCCATGGTGCGACGATCGATAAACACATTTTTTGTTTTCTACGAAGGGGGTTTTAAAATAATTGAGACTTTTGCTGCTCGCTGGATCATGTCCAACAGGCTGAGACCCGGCACGTCAGAATGGTTCAAGGGACCAACAACCCCAATGGCATTGCATCTCCCCGCATTTAATGAAGCAGTTCCAGCCTAGCCCAACAGAGATGAGAACGGAGGAATAAGGCAGAAGAGAATGGGACGACGGAGGAGCGAGCAAGGACGGGTGGACAGGACTTAGACCGGGAGTGGTGGCTTGCCTGCTAGTGGCGACGCCATGGCTGGACAACGGTCAAGATGGGGATGAAGTTTCTTTTGGAAAAACTATTTACAAAATAATAAATTAATGTGAATCATAGAAGTCATCCTGCTATAGCTCAGTTGGTAGAGCGGAGGACTGTAGTTGAGCAATCCTTAGGTCACTGGTTCGAATCCGGTTGGCGGGATGTGTTTTGCCCATCATGTGGGCCACCAACAATTTGTTGCACCTGAGGGGAACTGTGGCTACTACGGTACCTTACTTGCATCTTTCTTCTCTGCTTGTTTGCATCTACATTACCTTTTGCTTGTGGAGACTGTAGAGAAGCAGGCTAAAAAAAAGCATACCCTCACCCACCCTGCACCATTGTATTTTAAGGTGGAATGGTGCACCGTGCGCAGCTACCGTAATACCGTACCTACCTGCATCTGCTCTGTTTGTTTATAGACATTATTTTGTGCTTGTGGAGACTGTAGAGAAACAAAATGGGCAGAATAAGCATGTACCGGTACTCTCACCCTGTATCGTTGTATTCTAGGTGGAGTGGAGTGGTGCTGCACCTTACACATGCCATGATGCATGTTGGAAAGTCTTACAGTGCCTAATGCAGAGCGGTTCTCCCCAGGTAAATGCCCGGTATACTGTACCCCAGAAGAAACTTCAACCAATGCCATCCAAAGGAGCCCACACTTCCCGTGTGATTGAATTCTTCTGCTGCCTTGCGGTAGTAGCAATTAGGCTAATAGCACCTTCCAGGAAACAGAGAGCCAACCCAGGGGTGTGCCACAGGGCCGGTGCCGCTTCCTTCCATTCTTTCAGCACTCACCCATAGGAGGTACCGGTACAAGATGGAGACTCTGTAAAATTGCCACAGCATGGGATACGTATGACCGTGTGACAGAGAATGCGCTGAGAGTGCCTGTAGGGAGGGATCGGAGGTTGGACTAAACTCAGAAGTCTGAAGCAGGCAGTGTGTTGAGGTGAGATGAGATGAGATGAGATGAGATGAGATGAGATGAGATGAGATGAGATGAGATGAGATGAGATGAGATGAGATGAGATGAGATGAGATGGGACCAAGCAGAAGCAAGACTGTCATGCTCGGTTAGAAAGAATCACGACCCCCCCAACACAACCCACGCTGCCTCAAGAGCCTCAACTTTTCTTCGAGGGTAATATGGCTGACGCTTTTTGAGGCGCCTCAAAACACAACCCACGCTGCCTTAAGAGAAGAACCGCACATTCCTCATTCACGGCACGGCTCACGCTTGTGCAGATCCCTACAGCCATCACAGTCCACAGCATGGAGCCAGTTCCTATCCTTCAACAGGGGAAGCAAGCCGGGCGGCGCACTCGGCTTATTCTCACCACACACAGTCACCCGAATCCTCCTCAATTCAGTAAAGGAGGCGAGGAAGGATGGCAATGTTTGGAGGCTAGTCCAGTGGTGCAGAGTCAACTCAGTCAATGCGGTGGCAGAGGCGAGGGAGTCTGGGAGGAACGGCAGGTCGCACTTGGTGATCTGCAGCACGCGGAGGGACGCCGGGCAGGCAATCACGGGCTTTAAGTGGCTCACTTGAGTGTTCCGGTAGTAGGCCTCAAGACCGTGGTCCCAGGCCCACCAAGGGACCTCGGTGCGAGACGTTAATGTCCACATGTCATTCCGGATCATGGAGAGGCGCAGCGTGTGCAGCTGAGTCAGCGCTGACAGGGACGCGAGCATCTCCCTGCCGCCCACCTGGCAGCAGTTATCGACCACTAGCGTGTGGAGCTTCGGCAAAAGGGAGAAGAAATTCCGCGAGCCTAGCTCCCCCTCTGGCTTCCCTTCCCAGTGGCAATCCGGGAGCGGCTGATACAGATGCAAGAAGCGGAGATTAGAGTACCATCCCTGGTCGATCCCATGCAGTCGCACGGACCAAAACACCGACAGGTGCGTGAGGCTCGGCAGGGGACCCATGTCAATCTCCATAGCACCCCCCCAGCACTTGGTGAGAATCATCTCTCGGAGGTTTGGGAACGAGAATCGGTCTCCCTCGCCCTGCAACGCTGGGTCCCAGCGGTGCGGGGAAAGCGTGGGGACCAAGTCCCCATACACGCAAGAGTCATGCCCCCCTGCCCCCACTGCAGTCACTTCCAGGTGCTCCAGTGAGCCGGCTGCTCGCACTGCTGCGTGCAGCAGGCTGCACTGGTTGTAGTGCAGCTGTAGCCGGCGCAGGGCGGCTGGTAAAGACCCGCCGGCGGTGATTTTATCCGCCATCATGGAGAGGACTTGCAGATTGGAGAGGAAGGGGAGGGATCCTGAGGCGTCGGACAGGGCGTTGGGAGCGAGGAGGCGTGTGAAGTGGCGCAGGTGGCGGATGGATGGGGCCAGGCCGAAGGAGGAGCGGAGGGTGAGCGAGGAGAGGAACGGCAATGACGCCAGCCCTCGAATTGCCCCCCCTGCTGCTGTTCTTGCTGCTGATGCGGCTCCTACTCCTGCTGCTGCTACTCCGACTGCTGCTGCAGCTGGGGCATCTGCAGGTCCTTGCTGCCCCTCTCCCTCCTCCTCCTCCTGGACCTCCTCTGTGAGCCCTAGATAATGGCTCCACACGCCTCGCCCCTTCTCATACTCCTCGTAATCATCATCAAACGGCACTCTCAACGGGGTCTCCAGCTCCTGCAGCTGCGACAGACGCCAAGCAGACCTGGGCATCACCATAGCCACCTCGTTACAATCACCATCCCCACGCTCCCCATTGTCACAGTCGCCACTGCTGTACCTATCGCCATCGCCACTGCCACCAGGAGTGTGCAGCAGCGTTAGCTTCTGTAGTCGAGACTCGAGCCCGAGAAACAGATCTGGGAACCCCCCTCCCAGCCACCCTGACCCTCAATTGCAGCTCTTTCAGAGATGTGAGTGCACTGAAGGGTGACCCTGACAGGAGGACAGCTGGCACGCAGTTGCAGTTACCACCGTTACTGCTGTCACCGCTGTTACCACCGAGGGCGAGATTGAGAGAGGTGAGGTGGGGGAGGGAGAGGAGGGAGTGAGGAATGTGCGAGAGAGGGAGGGAGAGGGATTGGATGCGGTGGCAGTGGTCAAAGAACCAGGGGGAGAGGTTCAGGAACGAGGCCAAGCCGTCGCCTTGAAGGTGCAGCGAATGTAGTCGCTTGCACCTGGAGACCACACCCAAGAGCCCTGCTTCAATAGCGCGGCTCATTTCCTTCCGCCGCTGCTGCCTCTCCTGTTCTGTCCTAGCTTCCTTCCGCGCTCGCCTGATCTCCCTCCCACGCCTTGCCACCAGCTCTCCTATACCATCCTCTTCAGCCCACCGCCTTTCTCGCTCTCGTGCTATCCCTTTCTTGTCTTCCTCCTCCGCCTCGTCATCCCGCTGCCCACATCGCTTTTCCCGCTCCACCCATCCCGCCACGTCAGCCTGCACGTGGCAGCTCCTCAGCGCCCCCAGCCCCACCACCGCGTCCAGCACCATCCTGACGTCACCAGGGCCCAAAGCCACGTCACCACGCAGTGGCACGCGCACAGACGCAAGGTTCGGGAACTGCAGCAGCAGATCGGCCACCTGCTGCGCAGACGGCATGTCAGCATGCCAGCAGTTTCCATTCACGTGCAGCCATTGGTCGTGCTCGGCCATGCAATGGTACCCCACCCGCAGCTCCTCTCTCGTGGGGTGGCACTCGTGCCCCGCGTCCCGCTCCAGCTGCAGCACCCGCCGCGCAAACCACCACCTGCTGGCGACGCTAAGAGGAAGAGAAGAAGTAGCAGGAGAGATAGGAGAAGTAGTAGGAGGCGGCGCTGCAGAGCCGTCGTACAACGTCGTGGAAATGCTCAACGGGGAGTCCGAGTCCGTGGCAGAGGCCGAGTCCGAAGCTGACTCGGAGTCCGAGTCGGCCATTCCAAGCTGCCATGTGGACGGGTCGTCGCACACCCAAAGAGCGGACGACGACGGATCCCACTCGTCGATTTCATGGCAGCAGTTGCTGTTCGTCGGAATTTGATCCCGCGCCTCGTTGGGTTGAGCCTTTCCGCTAGTTTGCCATGCCGCATGACTGCAGCTGCCGAGCGTTCCGCCACCCCTGGCGCCACTGCTCGCGACGGCGTTGCCCGATCCGCCAGCGCGTTCGGTGCCGCGAAGCACGGGTCTCCAGCGGAGCTGGAGCGGGTCGAAAGCGAGGGAGAGATGCCGCACGGTATGGCGGTAAGCGCGACGCCATTCGCCATCGCGAAAATGGAAAGTCCGAAAAGCAAATCGAAATAGACTTTTACTCAACATTCCCGATATTTTTTTCCCGGCACTTTTGAGTCAAGGTTTTAGATCTGCATGGCGACAGTCACTTACAAAGCAACTTTGCGTCCACTTTCCCGCGACATTCTGTACATATGCGTGCATCAAATTAGCCACTGCACCCGCATCTGCGCAGTTGCTAAACAGAAACGGGCTGCGCCACACAAAAGTTTACCTAACCATACCGTGCCAACCAACTAGAAAGCGACGAGTACGCAACCCCAACTGCCACTCCGTACGCGCACACCCACGTGGCACCCTGTTTCAACCCGCACGGCCACGTCAGCGTACATGCACCAAAACGTACCCGCACCCCAACCGTTGGATGAACACTCGGGTCACGCAATCTCAACGGTTCACGTGTCGCCTGCACATAAATTCGCACACCACGTTACGACTTCGCGAACACTAACTCGCACATGCTCGCGCCAACCCCGCGCGCGGTTCTGCACCGTACATCTGATGGACGCACATCCAGTACACAGTTGACAGTTGGAGGCAACCCACATGGGCGCTAACCGCAAGTCACGCCGCTGATACCCACTAGCATGCTACCACGTGGCCTCACTACACTTGCGCATTCCCCGTCCGCACCCTGCACTACATTGCATAATCACCGTACACCTGTCGCGTCGCCCCCGTATCGTACACTTCGCCAGCTTTATCGCCAACCAGTACTAACGCACGCGCGACTACCTGTCGACGCCATCTGCATCGTCCATCTGTGTTCATCGTATCCACCACCGTGCTGATACGTCACGCATAATAAATCGATCTACCCCGTACACTTGCCGTGCGATCGTGTACTCGCACATACAGTAACCCTAAACCATCTCATCGTGGCTCGCGTTCGCGACGTCTTCGCTAATCAATCACAACCGAACATCAGTCGCACTCTACCCGCATATCACAGCGAGTCCCCCCCCGTCAACCTCAACTTCGCCTTCGCTCCGTGCGGTGACACGCGTACGTGAGCGCGTGCAACCATTGTATGCAATTGGTGGGTCCTCATTTCTTATCCATTGCATCCAATCAGATGTCTACGCTTGCGCACTGCGGATGCTTTTACGGCCACACATTACCGTGTCACCTGCCACGTTCCGTGAAAAGCGCCGCAAATTGCGGCGCGGTCTACACCACACAAAACACCTGGGTGACTGGCTTCCCGATGTGTATCGCAACCGATGGGTATCCTTGTTGTCCTGTCGAATGCGTCTATACCCCAATAAATACTTCTCCCATTAACAACATCCACACACACAAGCATACAACGTAGCCAGGCATATAAACAATCCCACTAGCTTCAGAGCCCACACATGCAACATCCAGTGCCCACTAAAAAGCCTGCTCAAACCCCTGACACGGAACCGATAATGATGCCTTCAACGACACCAGCCACCTGTCCCACCAACGGTGCGCGCCTAAATGTTGAACGCCCCTACACGCCCGTCAGCCTACTCATCACCAACTGACGCCGAGAGGTCGTCGTCCCCCGCAGGCTCTTCGGACTGAGCTGCGGCGGTGGGCTTCATGTGCTCCAGGCCGCACGCAGAGATGCGCAGTCCATGGCGCCCCCAGATCCACGCCTCTCGCTCCGCGTCATACTCCGGGTTGCGGATCCTGATCGCCCTCTCCACGGCCTCCTTCACCAGGACTTTGAGGCCGTCCACGACGTGTGCGTTGCCGCCGGCCGAGTTGGAAAGCCGGCCTTTCCTCTCCTCCCAGTAGAGGACGCAGTCGGAGACCTGCGCATCCACCACCCAGCGTGTCACCCAAATGGTCCGACAGTACAACGCGAAAACATGGCTCACATAGAGCGCACAGACTCACCACATGCTCTAACCAGGCCAGGTGGTACACCTTCAGTGTCATCACCAGCCCGGCCTTCTTGGGCCTGAATGCAGCCTTCGCACATGTCGCGAATGCCCGGGAGGCAAACGGCATGCCATCGCGGTCGTTCGCCCAGCTCGTGAGTACCAGGGTTTCTGCACACCACATGCGCACTGTCTGTGTCAGCGGCCGCCAACCACGGGGTGGTCAGCATAACCATACGTAGGTAACCCTCTCTGCTGTGGTAGAATGCACTCACCAGGGGGGTCAGCGCCAAGACCAATGCGCTCCCTGATCTTATCGATACTGCGTGCCTTCTCGGGCGCCCATGGGCTGCATGCGTCCCTGTCGTCGCGGAACAATCCGAGCTTGGGAAGTGCAATGTCTCGCACGCGTGCGGCAGCCCTTGTCTTCCACTCAGAGAGCGTCTTGTTGAGATCCGCGCGACGCGACTTGTCAGCCGCCAACGCCAAACAGGCGAAGCTATGCGGCAGGCGGTCCAGCACCGCACACACTCCGTGAGTCTTATCGTCGCTGCTCGGGTAGAAGGTCATCGTCGACGTCGGCCTGTTGAGAAACATGTGCACCCTGGCCAGCTCGCAAACCCTCTACGCACATACGGTATACACAAAACATAATATAAGTGCGAACCAGTAACCATCAACTGACCCACATGGCAGCCCAACACGACGAACGGAAATAGGGCCTCAACGGTAACATGCCCGCTCACCTTCCACGCCTTGTCGGTCGGCAAATGCTCCAACGCGCGTTGTAGAATAGGAGACTTGGCGGTACGCATATGACGGCCACCAGAACCATGCGTGTCGTCATCGTCATCCTCGCCGTCGCCGTCGGACCCGCCACTCCACGTCTCACCACGCTGACGCTTCGGGTTCATACAACCCTGCCCCGGGTCTCTCTGCTTCTGAGCCTTACGCTTACGAGAGCCACTGGAAGGCCGAGACATCGCATTCAAGAACAGCGCCTCCAACCGCGCGTTCTCCTTGGCGCTCTTGTCCTGCGCCTGTATGAGTTGCTCGAGGATCCGGCTAGGGATGCGCACGTCATCGCCGTTGGCGTCCAAGGTGTTCACGCGTGTGCGGCCAACAAGACCGTCCGCCTGTCCTCGGCCGTCGCCTCGAGCCACATCCGTGTCCCGCGCATCTTGATGTGTGCGCATGGCATCATTGGCCGCGGATATTCCCGCACATCCATCGTCGTTCGTCTTCCCTCCAGCACCCAAGTCGGCGGATTCCTCGTGTGATCCTGACGCAGATGTGTCTTCGCTTTCCTCGTCCTCTTCCTCACTGCGCTCCGACGAATCTGCACTCTCTGCACCCGTGCCGTCATCTGTGGGTGAGAGAAACACCAGGGAAGATCAACACCACAAGTTAGCATCTTTCGTTACTCCATGGTTCGTCGGCGTTACAACATCGCGTGCAACAAACTTCGGGACTCATCCACACAAGCTCGTTCTGCATACCTTGCTCTGAATGTGTCACCTCCTTTCCCTTATTGGACAAGCTCAGGCGCTTGGGAACGGTCGCCCCACGTTTCCCGTTCGACAGCCGACCTCGCGGCATCGTCAACTGGTATGACGAACGCAGGTATGCCGGCGGTTGCGAGACACGACGTGAGCGGCCTCCGGCCCTCGTATCCTCGGAAGCCATCGAGGTCTCCATTATAGCAATTGAAGTATCCAGTGAGATGCTTTGATAGTGACGCGCTACCCATTTTTATACGTAGAGTTGGGAGCTCAACTTCCAAACACACCGCGACACCGTTTACTCGAGGAGTTTGGTAGCCAGGAATACCTCGTGCACATCTGGACGTCCGCAACCCAAAACGTCCAATGAGTGAACAGCACGTCATCCTATCAGTGACGGGTGTCCACAGCAGAACCATACACTGCGCACATCGTGGTGACACAACCGTATCCGTGCACCTCGTTTGTGCGAACACTAGTATAGACATACGGTTTTCGGTATTCACGGATTCCATCAACCTTTTCCGACATTCATCACACCAACTGCACGATAACGCATCCATCTAACAAAACCACCCGGACACACCGTGTAATCACAATCCTTAGCATTGATCGCACATGCATACAACCACATAAGCACCCTATGAAGATCAGCTAGTGCAACGCAGACATAAGGAAATACACGCACCGACAAGTATCTCATATGCTTTGACTCCACAACCACTATGCCGCCGTGGCTGCCGTCTTCTCGTGTGCACCACTGTCTCCCTGTCGCTCTTCCTGGTCATATTCCTTTGCACCTCCGCCGTGCCCGTTGCTCAAGGGGGCCGTGCCCCCACTCTCAGCATTCTCGGGGGCCGCCAGTTCGTTATCCACCACCCTGCGCCTCTTTGATGTACCTGTGTCACCCCCACGCTTCCTCCCTCGTTTCAGCCTGCTGCTCACGCTCTCCAGCGCCTCACGCCAGCTCCGCCACCTCCACCACTTCCTCGCTTCCACCACTATCTGCAAATCTTCTTTGGTGCATCCACGCAGCATTGCCTTCTCAGCTGCTAACAGGGTGACTGTGTTGGATATCCTGTCGCGTGGCCTCAGCACGAACGCACCTGCGGCGTACGCGAATGCCGCCTCTTCCTCACTCGTGTACGCTCCCAGTCGCTGCTGCTTACGCTTTCCACGTTCTTTGATCAAGATCTTGACGCCGAACTTGCCAGTCCGTTTGTCCAGCTTCACACCCGTGTACGTGGTTGCACACGTATCCTCGTCCTCGCCATCGTCGTCTGAGTCGGACACGAGATCCTCCTCCTCTTCGCCCTTCACCGTCTCCTGTCCGAGCGTGTCTCCCCACGCGTCATCTCCAGCTGGCACACCCGTCCCGAGCAGCTGCCTCCCGCGCGTGAACATCCAGTGAGGTATGGCACCGTGGGAGAGCAGCGAGTTCGGCAGCAGCCTCGATGTCGGCTCACATGCAGCGAACGCGGAGGCCAGCGCTACCCGGGTGCCGTTGCGTACGCCATCCTCCTCAGGACTGCTGTCATCCCGCCTCTTACGGGCAGACGGACGCTGTGGTGTGCGTGGCGCAGTCTTGTTGCCACCCGCCTCTGCATTCGTGCCGGTACCCGCGAGACCGCCTTGCAGCAGCAGTTGGGTTGCAGCGGAGACGACCTCGTCCCGCCTCAGTCCCACAAAGTTGGCGATCACGGTGAAGCAGGCGTTCAGGTACCTCACATCGTTCGTCAATGAGGCTACACGCCTCATCACCTCCGTAACCCGTGCGTCCTCCACAGGGCGAGTGACCGGTGCCGGCCTCCCATCTCCCACAGCAGCGTTCTTCACCTGCACCACTGTACCCTCATCGGTAACCCAGCCTTCGTCCTGCGGGGGGATCTCAATTCCCAGGTCCTGCACCTGTTTCAAAAGATCGCCGCTCGCGTGAGCACACAGGTCGCGCCGCATCTCCCGCCTGTATTGGTGCGGTGTCACACCCTGGAACCAGAGGCCCGAAAGAACCGTGGCGAAGTCGGTAGTCACCAGGGTCTTGAGGTACTGGCAAACAAAAATCCCACAGTCCTCCTTGTTAGGCTGCTGTGGCAGCTTATCCTCCTGCCAATATGGGAACGCACACCACGTTTATTAGTCTGCATACATGCATGTGCAAACCGCATATTGGTGTCCACAAACAACGTCGCACACTGACCCGTAAAATTATGCAGTCCGCCTCCTTCAGCGTCTTGTCCACAAACTCCATGTTCGCGCTTGGGGTGCTCGCCTTTGCGAGCTCAGACAGCACACTGAACGCAACAGGTCAACTGGTATTAATATACAGATAAAGCAAGGCTACTGTATACGAACTTATTCACACCCAGACTCACAGCTTTGTTCCTGCGGCTGTTCCGATTCTTGATCGCGCTGTCCATCAAGACCAACGTCAAGCGCTCTTTTCCCTTCGATTTCGGCGACTTGGTGAGCACCGATGGATTTATAGCGATGACGAGCGAATAGTGCTCACTGCGCGCAATATGAGTGGTGTTAAATGTGTTCATGGATAGACAGTACACCATGGCACACCACAGAAACCCATAAAAAAACACGTTATGCACGATACTCACGATTCTAGCACCGGGATCGCCAGATAATCGTGTTCCACAAGCGGTCGCCCGTTCCCAAGGGTCAACGGCGCTCCATGCGCATTCGTCTGTGTGTAAGCCCTGCAGTCCATGGCGGCCCATGTCTTCCCGTTGCGGAGCGTTGGTTTCCTGATGCTAAGCAGCCTGCGAAGAGGTGAACAAGTACATGTTACGACGTTTGGCTACAGGCATCAGTAACAAAAGCCCGCGTAAAGGGTGCGGCCGTCATAACGGTACTTACACGTTGTGGAAGTCGATAACCCCATCTGTAATCCACTGATCGTCCTCGATGGACATGAAGTCGTCCTTATCCACCTCGCATCCGACACCGCGGTGATTCATGAGCATCATGTTGCTGTAAGTTGCCTTCATATAATTCCGGCCGATAGCGGCCACGATGTCGTCCGGCACGGGCTCCTTCGCCTTTTCCACAACATGAGACGCGAACCTAGAAGCCCTTGCGGAGTCCTTCGTCGGCGGGCTGGGAGCAGTAGTATTGTCGCCCTTGTTCGACGCCCTAGATCTGGTGACGGGCGGGTCGGGATCTTGCCCATCGCCGCTGCTGCTAGTCTCCGGTTCATAGAACCGGTTGCGCTTAGAGACCAACTGTTTAGGATTCGCCATCTAGAACGAGCACTCACTACCATTCGGAGAACGCTGAGTGATTAAAAGGTGAGCACGGAGGGGATGACTGGGTGAGCACAGCTACTCACGGATCTCGCGACATTGGCCCTATTCGGAATGACTTCAAGAGCAGGGCGTCACCCATGCCTTTCGTGCCAAGCTGGTGCGAACGTCATGCATATGCTCAATGAGCCACACCGTTGGCGGAGGATCGCATACGATGCACCGGGTGTGATTGGACAGCTTGCCTGGATGTGATCGTGAGGTCACATGCAGATCCACATGTGATGAGCCTAGGGTTTCGGAATACGTGGTCCGAGGTTTGGGTGGGTCACCAAACCTGGTGCATGGTGGTTGGGCCAGTTGTGGCCCGATTTTCTTGTACAATCGGAACGACGCGGAATCCGATAACGACGTACGCGGTAGGGGGCACATGGGTCGTTGTGTTCTTAGGGCGCGCCAAGCCTCGATTATAATCCGTCGTTGTGCTATGGGTTGAGATACTCGTGTACTGGTAGACGCGGTTATTCCATGTCTTGCTATAGTTCTTTGTTGGGTAAAAAATGGGTGGGTGTATACGTGCATTGCACGACATTGCATAGGAAATTGCAAAACAACTTTGGGTTCGTGGTGTTTGTATGTACACATATTCATTCCTTGGTTCTCGCCACATCGGGACATGCGTTTTTTTTTTTTTTTTTAAGAAGAAATTATTTAAAGGACGTATATATAGTGCTTTTATTAAATAGCAAATCATCATGGTGAAGTGTATATTGATTACGTGTAACACATGACCCGTTGTTTCCTGCACACGATTCACGTCTTCCTGCACATGTGTGTGCGATAAGTTGTTCCTGTGAGTTGTATTAGTGCGCACATGAGGTACTGAACAGGGTTTAGATTGCTGGGCCCGCTAGGGTTTCACGGCTGTAGGATGACGGGCAACAGTTGCCTGGTGTGCGAGACGGTGTTTAAAGACGACAGCAGGTTACAGTCTCACGTCGCTAATGGTGCAGTTTGTCGCGCCGAGTTGAAGAGGAAACGAGAGAGTCTTTTGCTAGCTGCATATTTGGAAGCCCTAGCATGTGACGGAGAGAGCAGACCTAACACACCGCCGGCCTCCCGGCATTAGGAGAATGATGATGGCAGTTTTGTATCTGTTGCTCCAACGGCTTCTCTCCCCGGAGTCAGTCTTGTTGGCGACGAGGATACACCCGCTGACGGCGAACCTGCTGAGGCTTCGGAAGACAGCGTGAGGGCGGAGATTTTCGATACACTGACGGAGTTGTACCTTTTCTTCCAGGACGCCGATCTTTCGCACAGGGAAGTTAACCGTCTGCTATACATTTTCCGCAATCCGCGCTTCAACCTACGGGCCCTCAGACGATGGCGCAACTGGGTGGACGTGCGCCGCTGGGGCATGGCGCGAGCTCCGCCGACATGGTCCCTTGGAAAACGGAGGAAATAGTGGTGCGGGTCCCCAAAGGAATGCAAATGAAACTGCTACTGCACTTCCGCGACACAGAGCTGGTTCGTAGTAGCAGCCCAACCCAGCTCACGACGTCGTAATGAAGTGTCGCCCGTGACCACCGTTCATTACCTACCATAACTCACACCTGAGTCCACCTCGATGCCCGCAGATTTTGAAGAAGCTGGTGCGGACGTTCTCATCGAAGAAGGGGTTCGTTTGGAAACCAAGGAAGATTCATCGGAAGAAGAACAACGAGAGGGTTTTTGAAGGACCGGAGACGGGTGATTGGATGCACGCTGCCCAGGTACGCGGAGCGTTTAGCCTCTCCCCATTTCTTGTGGATTACAAAACACACGATGCACTCGAATACCCACAGCTCACCGACACGTGTGGTGCACATGGCAGAAGGAGATTAATGACGAGGATGCACTCATTCTAGGCGTGCTGATATACAGTGATAGCACCCAGGCATCACGGAATGGCAGGAGGAACGCGTGGCCGGTGCTGATCTCACTTATCAACATTCCGGCGGAATTGCGTGGAGTGGAGCCTGGGCACACATTGGCGGCGGTGCTTCCGTTCCCACCTGAGTGGGCATCGCCTACGGAGAAGACGCGCGTCTTCCAGGAGGCACTAAAGATCATCCTCGCGCCCATCATGCGAGAGTCTGCAAGGTACACTGGGGGGAGAGGGGTGGTGTTGAATATGCTACACGTAGTCGCTCGTGGTGGGCACCCCATCCAGTAGTGAGGGAGAGAGGACACCGAGTTGTGTATATGTGACATCACTAACTGCACACCATCGCCTTCGCATTTGTACACTGCGCAGCGCGCCAGTTCGCTTCTTCTACTGCACAGACGCGGACGGTAAGGTGCACAAGGCGGTCCCTTGCCTGTACGGATACCCTGCCGACTTCCCTGAGTCCAGCAGAGCATCTGCGACGCTTCAGCAAGGGTCGCATCGACCATGCGCTAACTGCTATGCAGACAAGGGGGAGTTGACCATGATGGTGGGGAAGGTAGATCCACGTACCCCCGAGAAGCAGAGGGACATTGTCCGACAGATCCTGGCGTGTAAGACGCAAAGCCACGCTGACGATGTGCGGAAGTTGTGGTCAACCCATCCGATCGAGGTTTGTTTCGAGTTGGATAGGATCTTGTTGTTGTATCACAGTGGGCACGTTTTGACACCGTCGTGTCCTCCGTTGCACCATGCAGTGCGTGCTTCACAGGTGGAATTTCGCAGACACAGAGTGGGGCAACGTGTATCTGGCATGCCTTGCAGACACACTGCATGTTCTGGACTCTGGTGTGCTGATCCACATGATGGACACCTACATAGAGCCGCTCGGGAAAGTTGAGATGCGGCTGCTTGAACGGTGAGCCGGGTGTTGCTGGGTGGTCGAACTGGGCATGCTCTACCATGCCGGGGTCAGTTGGGTTGTAGGACACCATGTGTGCCGCTACATGAGCTCCTCGAATCCGTGTTGTGCGCAGACGCAAGAAGGAGTTCAAGGCCATCACGCCTAGCGTTCTCCTCCGAATCCCAGGGGGCTCATCGTTCTTCAGTTCAGGCGCAAATTACGCCGCGTTCGAGCACAGGAGCATGATGCAGATAATGCCGATATTGGTGGCTGACGAGAGTGCATTGAAGGGTGGAGAGGAGGGAGAGCTGCGTGCTTTACAGGTCAAAGCGTTCCGGCTGTTTGCTGTGTTTTACAAGGCGTTTCTGGGGGTTGACAGGCACACACATACAACAATTGCGATTGCCCGTCAGCATGCGATAGCGTGAGTACATACATGAGTTCTTTGAGTGGTTGGCCGGGGTGCTGGGAGCGTGTGCGGTTTGATTGTGCGGCCACTGTGGGGTGATACACGATGGTTCATCGAGTGTTGTATGCTTTTGTGGACGGTGTGGCAGGTTGGTGGAGTTGCTACCGCGGGCATTTCCAAAGCAGGCATCCCACTGGAGACTCCCAAAGATACACATGATAAGACATTTACTGGACAACGTTGTGCACCGTGGGATGCCGCACCATTATTCCACGGAAATGTGGGAGCGCACGCACAAGGGCACGGTTAAGGGTCCAGTAAGAGGGAGCAACTGGAGCGACATTCCACGCCGCATTGTGGAGGAGGAGGTGCAGCGAGAGGTGTACCGTGAAGTGGCTGCAGACGCGGGGGGTGGGCGACGGTACGCGACCGCATTGAGCGAGGTGCGTACGGGTGTTCTTGGTACTGTGATGGCCATTGGGAGTATACAGTGGAACGGTTTACCAGGGAAGAGCCGTGCCTCAAGCGGTATGCGGTTTGTTGTGGGCATGAGGGAGTCACGTGCAGGCAATCAAGACGAAGAAACCGGTGCTTACTAAGAAGTATCGGATCATGCGCATAGGCGGGGAGTCGGATCCAGTGTACGATGAGTACACCGCCGCGCTTGGAGACGAGATGAAGGGGATGGCCGATGAGTTCAAGGCGTTGGGGCTGTCTACCAACAACGTGCAGGTGAGGTGATGCTGTTGTAGCGTTACATGTACCATCCGGGGTTGTCACGTTGGTTGTCACTGCACTCATGATGCTATGTGATGATGGATTGGGTTCCATGGTGTGACAGGTCCACACGGCGGTGGCCATTCCGCGCACAAGGGGCGGAGAGCTAGTGGCAAAAGGGACATTTGTGAAGGCGTCTCCCCGAGAGAGGTGGTATTCGGACGTGGCACTGCTGAACAACAAGAAGGGAGACTGGTTTGCAAGATGTATGTGCATCTTCAGGGCGGTTGACCGTGATGGGGAGTGGAAGGGGTACGCATACGTGCGGTACTATGAGGGGGCGGGAATATGCAAGCTTACGGGGTGCAAGCAGCTGCACAAGCAAGTGGAGAAGGTGAGGTACTCGGTGGTGGAGTTGAGGAGCCTGCAGAGAGTGGTGCACGTGTGCCCTTCGTATAGCAACAAGAAGGTGCAATTAGTGAACAGGTTTTTGCTATGTGAGTGACGATGCATGTTGGTGGGGTGGAACGGCAGTGCTGATCCACATGGTTGGCAAACAACACGATATACGATTTAGCTGCGTGGAATGCAGGATTGATGGGTACTGGAATGCAGTAGGTAGACGAAAGTGTGCTTGGAATTGATGGTGACATGGGTATGGTGTGTTGCAGTTGGTGAAAGGCCATAGACACGGATGATATAATATGCACACATGTACATGTCAGTACGATGGCCGATTGTGCATGGGTAGGCCGCACAGATGACGTATGCTCAATGTTAATGCAGGTGTATAAACGGAATGTTAATTGTGCTTGCAGTTTGAATGTCAGGTACATAACGGGTATGAGTACAGTTGACGTTTGTGCGGTCGAGGTTGACGCGCTTCAATGTGTGGTGGTGTGAACGACCGAGCACAGGCCGTTGGCTGATCGGATATGGGTGACGCGTACGTGGCGTCGGGGACGCGAGATGGCCTATCTTCACGTTACGGGTGGGTGGCGAGAAGGATGTAGATGCTGGGAAAATGTGAACCTAAATTGCGACACTCTTGCTTGCTGTGGTGAGCACGAAAAAGAAATGGGGCGGTGCGGTGGTATGGAACGGGTGGGTGGGGCAGTGGATGTGCGTGTTTGTGGAGCTGCTTGGAATGTTTGAAATTTGAATTGAATGAAATGAAGAGTGAGGGGAGGGAGGGAGAGATGGAGAAGTGCAGCGAAACAGCTCTGATGGGGGAGGAGAGGCGAGAGACACGAAGGGTGACAAAAGAGTGAGGACGTGTTCAGTGTTTAATACTACGTCTTCCTTTCTGCCCTCACACCCACAAAATTTCGGTACTTTTCTGATAGGATTTCCCGAACCTGGCGGCAGACAGGTTCCGGAATCCGAAATCAACCAGGTGAATGCGCCCTCGTTATGGAATAGTAGTGATGTCTTTCTTGGGGGCGGACAGGGTTTGATCGAGCCGCTTGTGACAGGTGAAAATAGAGAGCAAATGGTTGGAGGAGGTGACGTGTGACTGTGAACTACAAAACGTGTGCGGGTTTTTCAAGGGGTTCCGGTATGGCGAGGTTGACCGGATTGCACTCCTTTGACCTCACTTGCTCATTATCACTGTACAATGTGCTGAACTTTAGCTGATGCTACAATTCCTTTTATAGGTGACACCTACATAACAAAACATGACATTATGAACTGTCCAGTGTTGCTGACTTAATGTCATAACATCAGCCAAAACTTGAGACATCAGCCAAAACTTGAGACAGATACGTAATGACCTGAGCATACTTGTAGAGCATCTTCTACATCACATAATTGTTGTAATTAATCGAGCTAGCTAGGGTTACCGAATGGATCTACTTGCTTAGACTCATAGGGAGTGACTGCCCAGCAGCAGAAACAGCTTGGCTTCAGCAAATTCAGAATCAGAACAGAGGGGCCTGACCTGATAATCATCTCAGAGAAGGAATGGCTTGGCCGGAGGGAAGGCCTGAGCGAAGTCAGCGGAGAGCGATGGCTTGAGTGCCACGACCTGGCGGCCCAGAGCCGCCCAGTGCTGCTGCAGACACGCCCTGATGCTCGCTTGTTCGTCCTGTAGCCCTGTGAGGCCTGCAGTGAAAGGGCGGGCGGGTGTCGGGGAGAGTAACGGGGTGAAAGTAAGCATGTGCAAAGCAAGGGAGGACCCGTGCTGCTGCAGGCACGCCCTGATGATCGCCTGCTCGTCCTGCAGCCCTGTGAGGGCCTGTTAGTACCAAACAGGTGGGCTGCCGAGGTCTTATGCCCATCAACTTAAATGGTTCTATGATCACCTGCTCGTCCTGTAGCCCTGTGAGGGCTTGTGCGGGACTGAGGGAGGGTGAAGCGGCGAGTGATGGAATCAAACTGCAACGGAGTAGCAGGGAAGCGAGAGCAGCCCAGTGCTGCTGCAGACACGCCCTCACTTCTGCCTGCTATTTTGTTGCCAGCTGTGTGAGCTTGGTGAGAGCATGACGTGGGGGGTTGAGATGCATCACGCTGAGGTGCTCAGCTTCCCTTTCTCACGGGAGGTGCTCAGCTTCCCTTTCTCATGGGAGGTGCTCAGCTTCCCTTTCTCATGGGAGGTGCTCAGCTTCCCTTTCTCATGGGAGGTGCTCAGCTTCCCTTTCTCATGGGAGGTGCTCAGCTTCCCTTTCTCATGGGAGGTGCTCAGGTGCGGACGCTGACTCCTTCCATCTACATCACCCCCTCCTTGCTCCACCTCATTGGTGGTACTCATTCCACATGTCAACCCCTTTTGTCGTATGCATTTACTACCACTCATCCTGCTTCCTTCCTTGCACCCATCCGCACCCATCCGCACCCATCCACATCCCACTCACCTAGCTCCAGCTCGACACCATACTCATCCTCCACGTCAGCCTCGTCCTCCTCCAGAGAGCCAATCATCTTCGCCGCCTCGGCGTATCGCCTCATCAGCGCCGCCTCCAGCTCAGCATCGTCAAGATTCTCGTCCAATGTAGGCTGGATGGGGTCAGTCATGGGGAAAAGAGAGAAGAGAGCAGTGGTGAAAAGAGAGCGCACACTCGCATTATGGTGAGGTGAGGGGCGCCTGTGGTGCCTCGGCGCATCGCCTCTTGACAGTGCCACCTCCAGCTCAGCATCGTCAAGATTCTCGTCCAACGCGGGCTGGCTTGGGTCAGTCACGGGGAAAGGAGAGAAGAGGGCAGTGGAAAAGGGAGCGCACACATGCGTTAAGGTGATGGATGGAGGGCACCTGTGCGGTGCCTTTTGAGACGTCTCAAAAGTGATGGATGGAGGGCACCTGTGTGGTGCGTTTTGAGACGTTTCAAAAGTGATGGATGGAGGGCACCTGTGTGGTGCCTCGACGTATCGCCTCATCAATGCCGCCTCGTCCAATGCAGGCCCACATCACACAGGCGTTGGGGTCCGGGGGGAAGGGGAGGAGAGGCGAGCAGCGGAGAAGAAAGAGTGCATGCGTTATGGTGAGAGGCGAGCAGCGGAGAAGAAAGAGTGCATGCGTTATGGTGAGAGGCGAGCAGCGGAGAAGAAAGAGTGCATGCGTTATGGTGAGAGGAGAGCAGCGGAGAAGAAAGAGTGCATGCGTTATGGTGAGAGGCGAGCAGCGGAGAAGAAAGAGTGCATGCGTTATGGTGAGAGGCGAGCAGCGGAGAAGAAAGAGTGCATGCGTTATGGTGAGAGGCGAGCAGCGGAGAAGAAAGAGTGCATGCGTTATGGTGAGAGGCGAGCAGCGGAGAAGAAAGAGTGCATGCGTTATGGTGAGAGGCGAGCAGCGGAGAAGAAAGAGTGCATGCGTTATGGTGAGAGGCGAGCAGCGGAGAAGAAAGAGTGCATGCGTTATGGTGAGAGGCGAGCAGCGGAGAAGAAAGAGTGCATGCGTTATGGTGAGAGGCGAGCAGCGGAGAAGATAGATTGCATGCGTTATGGCGAGAGGCTCATCGCCTCATCAGTGCCGCTTCCATTGCTGCCAGCAAGCTGCCAGCACTGCTGCTGGCAGGGTTGCAAAGCACATAGCACACAGCACACATCAAGCCACTGCCTTCAATCTTACCTCCTCCTCATCATCATCCTCCTCTTCCTCGTCCTCCTCGTCCTCCTCCCCCTCCTCGCTGCCTTCCATGCTGCTCGCCTCCTCCTTCACCTCCTTGAGTCGCACCATCGCTGCCATTGCTGCTGCCAGCACGGCAGCTGGCAGGTCTGACCCTGTCGCTGCTGCTGCTGCTGCTGCTGCTGCACCAGGCACGTGAGGGCGAGAACTGTGAAGGGCAAGGGGCATTACAGGGCAACGTGTTTTGAGACGTCTCAAAACAAGCGGCATTACAGGGCAAGGGGAATTACAGGGCAAGGGGCATTTCAGGGCAACGAAGCCTTTTGAGTTGACTTACAAGGAATCTCTTCGTTTGAGGATTCTCAGAAAACAGTTCTGTGGCTTGGCTTTAAACAGCCCCGTTTCACAGGGATCTGCCTCATGCAAGTATTACCTGCTTTACATATACCACCACCTTGCACACCCACCCGCACACTCACTGACACATACACCCACCCACCCTCACACGCACACCCAACCAACCACACACCCACCCAACCACACACCCACCAACCCACTACCTACCCACTCACTCACACCCACAGTACCCACCCACCTGTCCACCCGACCACGCACCCGCCCACACATGGCCACCCACCCACCCACCTGTGAGCTTCAGCTCCGACTCAAGAACAAGCCCCGGTTCCGCATGCAGTCTCAGCAAGCTCTCTACACCGCGCACCACCACTCCCAACCTCAACCCCCCTTCCTCCTTCTCCCCTTCCCCTTCCCCCTGCCCGGCCTCCCCCTTCCCCTTGTCGGCAGCAGGGGCGGGGGAGAGGAGGAGGGGGAAGACGGAGGAGGGGGAGGCGAGGAGGGAGGAGAAGAGGGCGAGGATGAGAGGCTTGGTGATATAGCGGATGGAGGAGAGGGAGGGGGCGGTGGAGAGGCGCGTGAGAGATGCCTGTGAGGGGGTTGAGAAAGGGGGAAAAAGGGGGGAACGGTGGGAAGCAGTGGTTAATCCCGGAACATGTGGACGTGGGACAGGAGCAAGAGGGCTAGGAGGACGGAATAGGGGACGAAGAGCAGGGGCCATGGCGAAAGGAGCAGAGTTAGGTGATGTAGCATAAGGAGGAGAGGGGAGGGGGCGGCGGAGAGGCGAGTGAGGTATGCCTTGGAGAGAGGGTCGGGGGGGTGTGGGGAAGAGGGGGGTGGAGTGGGGCGTGAGGCGGGGGAGAATTTGAGTTGAGCAGTGAGTCGATTTGTTAGGCGCCTCAAAACTCGTCTGACAGTGAGGTAGGAGGCAAGGGGCCACGGAGACTTTTAAAGTAAACTCAGAGATCGTCCCACATTGAGGTACGAGACAAGGGGGCCATGGGGACGAACGGACATGGGATGGGAGGGAGCAAGTGAATGGATGGCTTTTGAGGCGCCTCAAAAATGGATGGGAAACGAATGCGAAAGAAGGCGGGGCGATTGGAGAAAAGCAGGGCGGGACCTTTCTTTCCCCCCTCTGAAAATCTCCAACTCCCTCACACCACTCTCCCTCCACACTCCCCATCCCACCCACTCAGAAAAACAACAGCGCCCCCCACCCAACTACTCAGTGCAGGCAGCCACGCCAACCCTCCCCTCCTCTCCCATCCACTCAGAGCAGCCACAGAGTGTCCCTACTCAACCCCCTGCTCCCCCCTCCTCCCCCATTCCCTGTCATTTCCTCAATGTCTCACCTTGGAAAATTGTCCAGCCAGAGCAGCGGCAGCAGGGCCCCCCATAGAGAGTTACAGGAACAATGTTGAGCAGCGTGTTTTGACACCTGTCTCAACGCCCACCCACTTCCCAGCGAGTTACAGGAACAATGTTCTTCCCTCCTCTTCCCTTCCTTCGCCTCACCTCGGCAAACCGCCCAGCCCGGGCCGCAGCAGCAGGGCCGCCATTGAGTGCCACAGAAGCAGCGGTCAGCAGCGTGCTTTGCCACGTCTCAAACACCCCTCCGCCCACCCCTTCCCCTTCCCCCCACCCCTTCCCCTTCCCCCCACCCCTTCCTCTCCCCCCCACCCCCCGTCCGTCTCTTCCCTTTCCCATTGACTCACCTCGGCAAACCGTGCAGCCAGGGCAGCAGCAGCAGGGCCGCCATTGAGTGCCACGGCAGCAGCATTCAGCAGCGTGTGCGAGTGCCTGGATGCTCGCCACGTGGCAGCAGGAGAGCCGTCGGATAGCGCGGATGAGACGAAGCACGCGATGCCTTCGAGGATGGAGCGGGGCGGCACGGGCGGCAGGGGAGGCGGCGGAGGGGCCCAGGATATGAAATCTGGTACTGGAGTCCGGCCCTGAAAGGGGTTTAAGGGTGTGAGAGGGAATCAGGTGTGTGGAAGAGAATCAGGTGTGTGTGTGGAAGAGAATCAGGTGTGTGGAAGAGGATCAGGTGTGTGGAAGAGAATCAGGTGTGTGGAAGGGAATCAGGTGTGTGGAAGGGAATCAGGTGTGTGGAAGAGAATCGGAAATTCAGAAGTGAGTAAAGTGAGCGTTTTCTCTAAAAGAGATCACTTTTGAGAATTCTCAAAAGTCACTCCAATAGAGATGACTTTGAGAATTCTCATAAGGAAATTCAGAAGAGAGTAAAGTGAGCGTTTTCTCTAAAAGAGATCACCTCGTGAGGAGATGGAGGCAGCAATTGTAACAGAAGCAGCGCCACCTTTAGAAGCGTTCCAGTTTCAACGCACTCACCTGCAGCAGCAGCAGCAGTGAGTCGATGGTTTGGAAGACTGCCTCGTCCTCATCCTCCTCCCACACTGCCCCTGTTGTTGCAAGAGTCCTCAAGAACCAACAGCCTTAACAGCTCAATGAGCTCACCTGCAGCAGCAATAAGGAGTCGATGGTTTGAAAGACTGCTTCGTCCTCATCCTCCTCCCATGCCGTCCACTCTGCTATCAGCTCCACCCACTTGTGCGGCAGCGGCACCACCCTCTCTCAAAGCAACCCCTCCTCTCAACGGGCTCACCTGCAGCAGGAGCAGCGAGTCAATCGTCTGAAATACTGCCTCGTCCTCATCCTCCTCCCATGCCGTCCACTCTGCGACCAGCTCCACCCACTTGTGCAGCAGCGGAACCACCCCCCACTGCGCCACCAGCGCTGCCGCATCCCCGGCTGTAGCAGCACCGGCTGTAGCAGCAGTGGTTGTAGCAGCAGCGGTGGAGGGAGGTGAAGCTGGGGCATTGGCAGCGGCTTTGAGGACGAAGGAGAGCAGCAGAGAGGCGTCAAACCACGAGGTGGGGGGCGGCTCCTTATCCTCCTCGCCGTCTAAAGCGGCTGCTGGCTGTGGCTTTAAGAGGGACAGATCCACCTGGCAGAGACCGGGAAGTGGGAAGGAGGAAGGGACTGGGGATGATCAAGAGCAGCAGAGCGGCGTCGAACCATGACGTGGGAGGCGGTTCCTTGTCCTCCTCGCCCTCTAGAGCAGCCGCTGGCTGTGGCTTTAAGAGAGATGGATCCACCTGCTGAAGAAAGGGAGTTGGGGTGGGGAGGAGGAAGGGGGGGCGCATAGAGCACAAGGACTGGGAGGAGGAAGCAGTAGAGAGGCATCAAACCTGTAGCCTCTCTACTGCTCTCCTTCGAACATGAGTCAAGGTGACATGGGGGGAAGTTTCTTGTCGTCCTCCGCCCTCGCCCCCCTCTTGACAGATGGATCGACCTGTCAAGAGGGGGGGGATAAGAAGGGTGGGGAAAGGAAGGGGGGAGGGGGGGGGGAGGGCATAGAGCACAGGGATCGGGGAGAGCAGCAAAGGGGCGACGAACCACGAAATGGGGGTCTGCTCCTTGTCCTCGTCAGGGCACTCGGGGCAGTCAGGGCACTCGGGGCAGTCAGGGCACTCGGGGCAGTCAGGGCACGCGAGGCACAGATGCTGTTAAATCTCGAGTTGAGGAGTGGAAAATCACTCACGGGTTCATTCAGCCAGGCCACTCGCAGCACGCGAGCCACAGCTGCTGCCACCTCCACTGCGCGGCGACTTTTTTCTCCACCCCTGCTGCCTCCTTCCCTCCCACCCCTCTACTCCCCTTCAGGAGGTCATGTGAGACACTCATGCATCACATTCAGACCCACACGGCACACTCACAGGTTCATTCAGCCACGCCACTCGCAGCACGCGAGCTACAGACGCTGCCACCTCCACTGCCCGGCGACTCCTCTCCTCCGCCCCTGCTGCCTCCTTCCCTCCCCTCTCCTCCCCTTCCTCCTCCTCCTCCTCGTCCCCCCCTGGCAGCTCGTCATCGGCCCATGACTCAACCAGCGAGGCGAGTGCTGAGAAGAGCGCCCACACACGCTGTTATGGGGAGGGAAGGGAGGAAAGGCATGGAAGGGAGGGAGGGAAGGTGGTCTGAATGAACAAGCACCCCCCCCGGCAGGTCATTGTTGGCCCATGACTCGACCAGCGAGGCCCACGCTGAGAAGACAGCCCACACGCGCTGGGAGAGGGTGGGGCGGGAAGGAGGAAACGGAAGGTGGATAGAATGAACAAGCACTCTTTCTCTGGCAGGTCATCGTCGGCCCACGACTCGACTAGAGAGGCGAGAGCTGAGAAGAGCGACCAAACTCGCTGCCTGGGAAGTGAGGACAGGGAAAGGCGGGAAAGGCGGGGCGAAAATAGGGGGAAAGGGAGGGCGGATCAGTCAAAGGACAGCCGTTCCCCCCTGGAAGCTCGTCAGTGACCCATCATCGTTAGACACATTCCAGCGAGCAGCAGTATAGACATATTTCTCCCTTTTCTGAACTTTCTCCTATACTGCGGTGCTGCAATATGTCTAACGGATCAGTCAAAGGACAGCCGTTCCCCCCCTGGAAGCTCTTCACTGGCCCATGACTCGACCAGAGAGGCGAGCACAGAGAAGGTAACCCACACACGGTGCAGTGGAGAGAAAGAATGGGGAGAAAACTGTTTGAAGGGTTACGTTTCAAAACCAAAACCCCTGGTACCGCACCTGTAACACTCGCCCTTCTGAATCGTCATCAAGGGATTTACCAATAGTGGGTTCACCTATATCTACACCCAAAGCTACAGCATGAAGGGGTGAGCATCCTAACAGCTGCTTCCATACCTACCTGTGCCTGGCCTGGCCCCACACACATTCCACCAACAGAACCCACACCTGCGACCAGGGCTGGTCCGGGGGAGGCAGGGCGGAGCAGGTGTCATCTGCAACAGCAGCAATGTTGCAACAACAGCAATGCTGCGACCAGGGTTGGTCAGGGGGGGCAGGGGAGGCAGGTGGGCGTGAACTCCCTCGGCCCCCTCCACTGCCACCGACTCCAGCAGGTCCAGCGCGTAGTGAGGCTGTTTTTGAGGCGCCCCACTGCACGCCCTCTCACTCTCCACTGCCACCGACTCCAGCAGGTCCAGCGCCCTCACCTCACCGCCTCCCTCTCCCCTCGAGCCCTTGCATTGGCTACTTACAATCACACAGGGGGAGAGAAACCCGAAACCCGAAACCACTACCAACCCAGCTGCCGATGCTGGCTTCGCCCAATCTACACGCAAAGCTACAGCGTGCCCATACCTGTGACCAGGGCTCATCCGGGGGAGGCAGAGCTGCGCAGGTGTCATCTGCGACAGCAGAGATGATGGCAGGCAGATGGGCGTGCACACCCTTATATTCATACAGAGGAACTCGCACCTGTGACCAGGGCTGATCTGGGGGAGGCAGAGCTGCGCAGGTGTCATCTGCAACAGCAGAGATGATGGCAGGCAGATGGGCGTGCACACCCTTATATTCATACAGAGGAACTCGCACCTGTGACCAGGGCTGATCTGGGGGAGGCAGAGCTGCGCAGGTGTCATCTGCAACAGCAGAGATGATAGCGGGCAGGTGCGAGTGCACGCCCTCGCCTCCTTCCACTGCCACTGATTCCAGCAGATCCAGCGCCCTCACCGCCTCCTTTTCTTCCCCTGCTCTTGTTGCTGCTACCACTGCTTGCAGGAATGCCAGCCAATCAGACGGCTCCACCTCATTCTGGATAGAGAGTGGGTGGAGGAATGAAAAAAGGCATGCGAGGTGTGGTTTGGTGTGTTGAATTTTGAGTCGACTCAAAAGTCGATGTGGTTTGGTGTGTTACATGTTACCACAGACGTACAGAGGCCATTTGGTTTTTGAGAATTCTCAATTACCACAGACGTACAGAGGTCGTTCGACGCTGTTTTTGAGTCGACTCAAAAACCACAGAGGTACAGAGGTCATTAGATGCGCCTAAAAAAGTTTGGCCTAAAAATTTTGGTCTAAAAAAGTTTGGTAAGCACAAGTAGAGAGGAGATCCAACTTGCACAAGGAGTGGCAAGTTGGATTGGATGCAGTGAGTAGGGGTAGGGGGAGTAACAAATAAAAAAGGGTAGGGGACACAGTGAGATGCAGACGCAGTGGACATAGAGTTCAATTTGATTTGATTCAAAGGCATTGGCAGCACACACGCATGGCCAAGGGCAATGCGAACCAACCAACCACATGCACCACATGCACCACATGCACCACATGCACCACATGCACCACATGCACCACATGCACCACATGCACCACATGCACCACATGCACCACATGCACCACATGCACCACATGCACCACATGCACCACATGCACCACATGCACCACATGCACCACATGCACCACATGCACCACATGCACCACATGCACCACATGCACCACATGCACCACATGCACCACATGCACCACATGCACCACATGCACCACATGCACCACATGCACCACATGCACCACATGCACCACATGCACCACATGCACCACATGCACCACATGCACCACATGCACCACATGCACCACATGCACCACATGCACCACATGCACCACATGCACCACATGCACCACATGCACCACATGCACCACATGCACCACATGCACCACATGCACCACATGCACCACATGCACCACATGCACCACATGCACCACATGCACCACATGCACCACATGCACCACATGCACCACATGCACCACATGCACCACATGCACCACATGCACCACATGCACCACATGCACCACATGCACCACATGCACCACATGCACCACATGCACCACATGCACCACATGCACCACATGCACCACATGCACCACATGCACCACATGCACCACATGCACCACATGCACCACATGCACCACATGCACCACATGCACCACATGCACCACATGCACCACATGCACCACATGCACCACATGCACCACATGCACCACATGCACCACATGCACCACATGCACCACATGCACCACATGCACCACATGCACCACATGCACCACATGCACCACATGCACCACATGCACCACATGCACCACATGCACCACATGCACCACATGCACCACATGCACCACATGCACCACATGCACCACATGCACCACATGCACCACATGCACCACATGCACCACATGCACCACATGCACCACATGCACCACATGCACCACATGCACCACATGCACCACATGCACCACATGCACCACATGCACCACATGCACCACATGCACCACATGCACCACATGCACCACATGCACCACATGCACCACATGCACCACATGCACCACATGCACCACATGCACCACATGCACCACATGCACCACATGCACCACATGCACCACATGCACCACATGCACCACATGCACCACATGCACCACATGCACCACATGCACCACATGCACCACATGCACCACATGCACCACATGCACCACATGCACCACATGCACCACATGCACCACATGCACCACATATACACCACATGCACCACATACACCACATACACCACATACACCACATACACCACATACACCACATGCACCACATACACCACATACACCACATGCACCACATGCACCACATGCACCACATGCACCACATGCACCACATATACACCACATACACCACATACACCACATACACCACATGCACCACATACACCACATACACCACATACACCACATACACCACATGCACCACATACACCACATACACCACATACACCACATACACCACATGCACCACATACACCACATGCACCACATACACCACATACACCACATGCACCACATACACCACATACACCACATACACCACATACACCACATGCACCACATGCACCACATGCACCACATGCACCACATGCACCACATGCACCACATGCACCACATGCACCACATGCACCACATGCACCACATGCACCACATGCACCACATGCACCACATGCACCACATGCACCACATGCACCACATGCACCACATGCACCACATGCACCACATGCACCACATGCACCACATGCACCACATGCACCACATGCACCACATGCACCACATGCACCACATGCACCACATGCACCACATGCACCACATGCACCACATGCACCACATGCACCACATGCACCACATGCACCACATGCACCACATGCACCACATGCACCACATGCACCACATGCACCACATGCACCACATGCACCACATGCACCACATGCACCACATGCACCACATGCACCACATGCACCACATGCACCACATGCACCACATGCACCACATGCACCACATGCACCACATGCACCACATGCACCACATGCACCACATGCACCACATGCACCACATGCACCACATGCACCACATGCACCACATGCACCACATGCACCACATGCACCACATGCACCACATGCACCACATGCACCACATGCACCACATGCACCACATGCACCACATGCACCACATGCACCACATGCACCACATGCACCACATGCACCACATGCACCACATGCACCACATGCACCACATGCACCACATATACACCACATATACACCACATACACCACATACACCACATACACCACATACACCACATGCACCACATGCACCACATGCACCACATGCACCACATGCACCACATGCACCACATGCACCACATGCACCACATGCACCACATGCACCACATGCACCACATGCACCACATGCACCACATGCACCACATGCACCACATGCACCACATGCACCACATGCACCACATGCACCACATGCACCACATGCACCACATGCACCACATGCACCACATGCACCACATGCACCACATGCACCACATGCACCACATGCACCACATGCACCACATGCACCACATGCACCACATGCACCACATGCACCACATGCACCACATGCACCACATGCACCACATGCACCACATGCACCACATGCACCACATGCACCACATGCACCACATGCACCACATGCACCACATGCACCACATGCACCACATGCACCACATGCACCACATGCACCACATGCACCACATGCACCACATGCACCACATGCACCACATGCACCACATGCACCACATGCACCACATGCACCACATGCACCACATGCACCACATGCACCACATGCACCACATGCACCACATGCACCACATGCACCACATGCACCACATGCACCACATGCACCACATGCACCACATGCACCACATGCACCACATGCACCACATGCACCACATGCACCACATGCACCACATGCACCACATGCACCACATGCACCACATGCACCACATGCACCACATGCACCACATGCACCACATGCACCACATGCACCACATGCACCACATGCACCACATGCACCACATGCACCACATGCACCACATGCACCACATACAACACATACACCACATACACCACATGCACCACATGCACCACATACACACCTGGATGAGGTAGGAGATGCAATGTGACGCAGCAGTGCGCACCGCCGCCCATGACTGCCCCTCCGCGTCCCCCGCTGCCATGGCCTTCATGCTCGCCTCGTACACAGGGCTGTGCAGCGACTGGTGGGGGAGGGGAGCGATGGAAGGAGGGGAGGATAGCAGGAGGGGAACAGGTTGGACATACAGTGGAAAGGAGTAGAGGTAATGTATCCACATCCCCCGCTGCCATGGCCTTCATGCTCGCCTCGTACACAGGGTTGTGCGGGGACACAAAGAGGAAGGGAGGGAAAGAAGGGCGTAATGATGATGCGCAAGCACACGCACGCATGTATGGTCAGCCATCCAAGAGCCAGTGATGCATGTATGGTCAGCCATCCAAGAGCCAGTGATGCATGTCTGGTCAGCCATCCAAGAGCCAGTGATGCATATGCACTTGGGGCTGTGAACATTAACTTGCCATCCAATAGGGGGCTGTGAACATCATGAGCAAAGCTGTGAGCTCTCGAGTGCCATTGTCAGAAGCTTCCAAGAAATTTAAACAATGATATTCTCCATTGCCGCCCGGGTCAGTCCAACCACACAGCTGTCAGTCGATCATCACCTCAGGCAGGGCGGCGGAGAGCTCTCCCAGCAGCCACGTGGCGGAGGCCAATAGGACGGCGCTGACGTGGCGCTGCGAGAAGAGGGGCAGCACGCGTGCTGGCAGCAGCTGCTCCAGTTGCGCTGGCTGGCGCTCGAAGTACTGCGGGGGGTGTAGAGAGGGGGGGGGTGGGGAGGGGGAAGAGGGAGAAAGGGTGGGTGAGGTTAAGTTGGGGGAGCACGAAACAGAGGGATAAGTCAGCTGCTGGAGGTGGGCTGGCTGGCGCTCCAAGTACTGCGGGGGGAGTAAAGGGGGAGGAAAAGAGAGGGAAGGGGTGAGGGAGGATGGGTCGGGTTGGGTTAACATGGGGTAACGGGAAACGGAACCGGGGGGGGTGGGGAGATAGCAGCTGCTCCAATGGGCTGGCTGGCGCTCAAAGTTTTGCCAAGGTGTGGAGAGGGGGAGGAACGTGGGCGAGGGGAGAGGTGAGGGAGGGACAAGATAACTTGGGGTAACGGGAAACGGAACCGCGGATAGGAGATGGCAGATGCTCCAATGGGCTGGCTGGCGCTCAAAGCACTGCGGTATTGTAGAGTGGGGAGGGTGGGGGGGAGGGGTGTGGGAATCAGAGGGAGGTAAGTGGTAGAGGGAGAGGATGTGGGAGGAGGGGGTATATGGGAGGAGGGGGTGTATGGGAGGAGGGGGTGTATGGGAGGAGAGGGTGTATGGGAGGAGGGGGTGTATGGGAGGAGGGGGTGTATGGGAGGAGGGGGTGTATGGGAGGAGGGGGTGTATGGGAGGAGGGGGTGTATGGGAGGAGGGGGTGTATGGGAGGAGGGGGTGTATGGGAGGAGGGGGTGTATGGGAGGAGGGGGTGTATGGGAGGAGGGGGTGTATGGGAGGAGGGGGTGTATGGGAGGAGGGGGTGTATGGGAGAGAAGCAGCTGCTCCAGGTGGGCTGGCTGGCGCTCAAAGCAGTGCAGCGGTGGAAGGGTGATGGAAGAACGGATAGGATACATACATGAGGAGATAAGAACAGCTGGAGAGGGGGAGTGGCTCTAGCTGGGCTGGCTGGTGCTCAAATAACTCCAGAGGAAGTTGCTTTAGGATTTATCCGTGTGAACAATCGGCAGCGGCAGGAAAGTGGTTCGAGATGAGGGCGTCTGAGTCTCTGTCTCTGAGAGTATGGAGGGTAGCGAAGTAGAAGACATTCCAGCGAGCAAGCAGCAGTCGATTAGAAGGCATCTGAGTCTCTGAGAGTATGAAGAGTACTGTGCTGATAGTGTGTGTGCATGGGATGATCATGTGAAACAAGTAAGTTTTTGAGACGTCTCAAAACGTGAAACAGGTAAGTTTCTGAGACGTCTCAAAAACTTGTTTCACGAGGGTACTGTGCTGATGGTGTGTGTGCATGGGATGATGGGAACGAAGTTATACAAGAATGAATACGTCTCTCTCTTTACCCATGCAGGCGTGCGTGTACCTCTTTCATGGCCGCATAGGCTTGCAGAACGCCGAAGTAGCTGCCATGCCATGGGTGATGATGGGGTGGGGTGGGGTGGGGTGAGGCGCACAGGCACACAAATGGGGCATGGGTGGGAGGGGATGTGTTGGTTGGTGAGAGTGGATTCGATAGCAGCAAAACACTTCAAGTCAGGCATGGGAAGGGAAACCAGGCAGTATGGAATGGGTCGAAGGGAAGGGAAACCAGGCAGTATGGAATGGGTTGAAGGGAAGGGAAACCAGGCAGTATGGAATGGGTTGAAGGGAAGGGAAACCAGGCAGTATGGAATGGGTTGAAGGGAAGGGAAACCAGGCAGTATGGAATGGGTTGAAGGGAAGGGAAACCAGGCAGTATGGAATGGGTTGAAGGAACGCGAGAGGGGAGCGAGAAAAGGTGTGGGTGGGAAGTGAGGTTGAAGGGAGGAGGGGGGAGAGGGGGGAGAGGGGGGAGAGGGGGGAGAGGGGGGAGAGGGGGGAGAGGGGGGAGAGGGGGAAGACGGGGGAGAGGAAGGGGAAAGGAGGCATACAGAACGAGCATTCTGGAGAAAAAGAAGCTGCAGCAGACAGTAGACGAGGTGAAGAGACGAGAGAAGCAGGGAGGGAAGAAGGGGGGAAGGAGGGAGGGAAGGAGGGAGGGAAGGAGGGAGGGAAGGAGGGAGGGAAGGAGGGAGGGAAGGAGGGAGGGAAGGAGGGAGGGGAGGAGGGAGGGGAGGAGGGAGGGGAGGAAGGAGAAGAGGAGGGAGGGGACGAAGAAGGAGAGAGCAAAGGAGCGAAAGGGATTCAAGACTCACTGGACGACAGCAGCACTGGCAGCATCGGCAGGAGCCTGACCTCCCCCTGCCCCCGCCACGAATATGCCGTCCAGAGCCACGGCAGCATCAGCTGGGAGAGGGAACCTGGAGAGCACAGGGCGGGAAGCACTCCGTTTTTTCTTTAGAATTCTCACAGCACCCTACAGGTGCCGATTCCCCCCTGTCCATTGGGGGGGGAGGGAACATGGAGAGGGAAGGGCGGGAAAGAGAGCACGATTCTGAGGCGCCTCAAAATCAGTAATGCTGCACTGGCGGCACCAGCAGGAGTGTAACCGACCCCTGTCTGTTCCCCACCTCACACAAGCACGCCATCTCGATTGGCAGCGCAGGATAAGAGTGGTCGAGTCATGGGCTGCCTCATGTTCTCCTCCTCCCTTCTGCCTCAGCTTCTTGCAAAAGAGCAGCCAATGCACGCACGCACGCACCTGGAGAGGAAGGGAAGCACCACTGTAGCCGCTGCTGCGTCAGTGTCCTTGGTGGCGGCTGGCCTTCGTTGTCTCCTTCTGCCTGCTGCTGGTGACGTGGACTTGGACGGTGCCGCCGCGCCTGTGGCACCTGGCTTGCCTTTGGCTGGGCTTCCCTGTGTTGTGCACGTGAGAGGAAGGAGACGCAAGAGGAGAAGGAAAAGCAATTCTTAGCGTCCGTGCACAATTTGTGAGTCGTCTCACAATTCTTAGGTTACTTGTAAGGGCGCGGTTACCAAAGTCACTCGCCAAGATTGTCGAAGAAGTTCCCGAAGGCTGACTTGGCACCCTGAATTTGTTTCATTGCTTAGTTGGCAAACCCCTTTCCTAGTTGGATTCTGGGTAGTCGGGTTTCTTGTATGTAGATCTCGAGGGTAGTCTAGCTACTTGAGCTGCTACCAGGCTCTTTGCTTTCTGAGTTCCGAATTGTGCTGTACTGATGAAGGCGTGATTGGGCTTGCCCATCCGCCGAAACTAGTTTACGCAAGGAGGCTTTTCGGAAGCTAAGGGCTTTTCAGATCTGCGTTTTTTTCACTTGAATTTTTCACTGTTGTTCCTTTGCTTAAGCGTCCATTCAACCACTGCAGCCCTTCGAACAATGAGTCAGGGTGACCCTTGTTGTGCACGTGAGAGGAAGGAGACGCAAGAGGAGAAGGAAAAGCAATTCTTAGCGTCTGTGCACAATTTGCGAGTCGTCTCAAGAAATTGAGTGCGCGTGCTCATATGGTGTGCACATACATATGTTTTGAGACATCTCAAAAGCCACGTGATAGAAGTAGTGTTTTGAGATGTCTCAAAACGTGCTTATATGGTGTGCAGACATCTCAAAAGCCACGTGATAGAAGTAGTGTTTTGAGATGCCTCAAAACGTGCTTATATGGTGTGCACATACATATGGGCTGGGCTTGTGCAGTGTGCACGCATGGATGAATGATGCATGTGTGTAACTCCTTGGTGATGGCACACTACCTTGCAAGTGACAATGAGCGACTTTTGAGAATTCCCAAATGTCAGAATTCTCAAATGTGAGAAGTCTCAAAAGTGAGAATTCTCAAAAGTGACTTTAGTTCGATAATTCTCAAATGATGCATGTATGTAACTCCTTGGTGATGTCACACTACCTTGCAAGTGACAATGAGCGCCTACAAGTGAGGAGCAGCACACCGGCACGGGTCGTGTATCATGCATGGTGCACGCATGCATTTATGCATGCATGTATGTACCTGTAACTGGGTGATGGTATACACCACACCACACCACACCACACCACACCACACCACACCACACCACACCACGCCACACCACACAACACCACACTACCCACACACACCCCACTGCACCGCACACTACCTTGGAGGTGGCAATGAGCGCCAGCAAATGAGCAGCACACTGCCGTGGGTCATAGCTCTCGATTTCATCCATGTCATCCTGGAAACGGAAAGGTCAAAAAAGGGAGGAGAAGAAAAGAAAGGTATTTCTTTTTTAGGAGCCTTAGAAAACAGACTGGCATGGGTCATAGATCTCGATCTCATACATGTCATCCTGGAAACAGAACAGAATGGTAAAAAAGGGGAGAGGGAGAGAAGGAAAGACGTCTCTTTCTGAGGCGCCTTAATAACAGACTGCCGCGGGTCATAGCTCTCGATCTCATCCATGTCATCCTGGAAGCAGAAAGGTCAAAAAGAGTAGGGGAAGGAAAGATATTTCTTTCTGAGGAACCTTAATAAACAGACTGCAGGTCTTATCTCAATCTCGTCCATGTCATCCTGGCCACAAGAAACAAGAGAGGGGAGACGGCGAACGATGAGGATGCAAGACAAGGAAGTGATTGGAAGATGGGATATGCTGCTCCTGGTGTTATAGATGGTACCACAATAGGTTTGAGCATAAAAGCGAACAACGCTTCGGTCGGATGCAGTTCATTTCGCATCGAACTGAACAGTGCCCTTCCGGTTCGTGTTTTGAGACGTCTCAAAACTGAACAGTGGCCTTCCAGTTCGTGTTTGAGGCGTCTCAAAACTGAACAGTGGCGTGCTTTGAGACGTCTCAAAACTGAACAGTGGCCTTCCGGTTCGTGTTTTGAGACGTCTCAAAACTGAACAGTGGCCTTCCGGTTCGTGTTTTGAGACGTCTCAAAACTGAACAGTGGCCTTCCGGTTCGTTTCAAACTTCTGGTCCAACCGGTTCAATTGTCGATGCGAACATCAGGCTGACTTTTGAGTCAACTCAAAGATGAACATCAGGCTGACTTTTGAGTCAACTCAAAGGTGAACATCAGGCTGACTTTTGAGTCAACTCAAAGATGAACGTCAGGCTGACTTTTGAGTCAACTCAAAGGTGAACATCAGGCTGACTTTTGAGTCAACTCAAAGGTGAACATCAGGCTGACTTTTGAGTCAACTCAAAGGTGAACATCAGGCTGACTTTTGAGTCAACTCAAAGGTGAACATCAGGCTGACTTTTGAGTCAACTCAAAGGTGAACATCAGGCTGACTATTGAGTCAACTCAAAGGTGAACATCAGGCTGACTTTTGAGTCAACTCAAAAGTGAACATCAGTTCGCACCAGACCGAGGTTGTTACGATGCGGAACCCGTGCAACTAGGCCATTTTTATCATGTTAGGCGAAACAAGAAAAGAGAACTGGTTTGGCTCGTTCTTTTGCTCAAGCTGATACCATCATCACCGGTTCTCTAAGAGAATGGAACATTGGCAAGACCCGTAATCAGAAGGAAAACAAAGACACAAAGTTCCTGCCACTCACTAGATCTGTGGGTAGGTTACGTCGAACATACTCCTCCTCGTCCTCATCCCACAGCTCCAAATCCTGCCGCCCAAGAAGAAGCCCAAAAAGGATGCTCCGTCGATTGCAAGGCCAGGAAGAGCAAAGAGCATGGGCGGGCGTGTGTTGAGTCGACTCAAATTACACGTGAGGCCCCCAAGAAGAAACATCCACGCCCGTAGTTTAAGACTAGGGGCGTGAGCGATTGACATTCTTGCAAAATTTAGTGCAGTCGACGGGGGAAAGATGCACATAAGGAAAGGTGGGGGAAGAGAGGACATCTGAGTCGACTCAAAAGTCATCAAGCACAAATTCAGTGCAGTCGACGGGGAAGATGCGGATAGCAGGGGGTGGGGGGAAGAGGAAACTGGGGGGCTCACTTGGGGATGCAGGCAGAGCGCAGGGAAGATGGCGGCCTCTAGGAGATGGGCGAACTGCGGAGCCACTACCTTCCAGCCCTGTGGACACATGGGGGCATGGGGCATGATTGGGGAGGGCGTGGAGCACAGGTTATGGAGTGGCAGTGGAATGATGAGCTCCCATCCCAGTAGAGTGAACTCCATCACACTGAGCTGGTCTCTCCCCCTGTTCACATCCAGCAGGTGATGAGTTTATTTTTTAGCCGACTCAAAAATCGCCTCATCACATGCGGGTCATGGAGTGGCAATGGAATGCGTTTCCATCCCAGTGGAGTGAATCCCATCACACTGAGCTGGTCGCTCCCCTGTTAGCATCCAGCAGATCGCCGAACTGAAGAATCGCCACCTTCTGAGCGATTTATGAAATTTCTCAAAAATCTCTCCCCTGTTCGCATCCAGCAGATCGCCGAACTGGGGAATCACCACCTTCCAGCCCTGCAGGCATGGGGTATGAAGCGTGTATGGGGAGACGAGGGCGTGGGGAGGCGATGAGGGCATGAGGAGAGGACTCAGGGGCATGAACGCAAACATGCTTGAGCACTGATATCCCCCCCATATGCACGGGCAAAGACTGTAAAGAGTTGCCAAAAGTCAACCCAAATTGGGCAAGAAAGCAAGGCAAGCACTGACCGGAGCGGAGTCGAGCACTTGAGCAACGGCAGTGAACGCCACTGCGATCACACGACCGGTTTTGACTCACCTCAAAAGTTTTGCGGTGCGTTTTAAAGGACTCACCGGAGCGGAGTCGAGCACTTGAGAGATGGCGGTGAATGCCACTGCGATAACACGACGGGCTGCTAAGGGGAGCTGGGGTGAGGGAGGGATGAGCAGGGTGGCGGAGGAGACGGAGGGGGGAAGGAGGGGGTGAATGACCGGGGGGGGAAGCGGATGGAAGAAGGAGGAAGGGCGGGCCAAGGGGGAGAGGAGGGGGGGAGGAAGAGGTGGGGGGATAAACGAGGGGGGAAGAAGGGGTAGGGAAAAACTAGCAAGCAAGGTGAAGGACTTGAGTTAGATTGAACCATCAACAGATTAGCAACAACACAGTAGAGGGGATAGCAGCAATGGCAACCAACCCCACGTGGCACAGAGAGAGAGAAAGCCCCTGCCACGTGTCTGCACCTTATTGGTCCACAGTGAGTTGCAGACGATGCCTGTGATGCCATCCACCATGGCAGGAAAGTGCCTGGAAGGCGCACACGGTGGGTGGGACAGGCAACGGGAGGGGAAAAGGAAAGGGACGGGAAGATGGAGAGGGAATGGAGAAGGGAGTCCAAAGAGCAGAGGAGGTGCGGTAGTGGGGAGAGGAGGAAAGAGTGACTGCAGAAGGGAACCAAGCAGAGAACATTACTGAGGTGCATGTGAATGTGAACATACTTTTCTTTTGAGAGGCACTTCATTCAAACAAGCTTGCCTTTCACCAGTGCAAGGCGTTACTCACTCGTTCATCAGCTTCTGGTGTCGGCTGGCCAGAGCATGGCAGGCCAGAGCATGGCAGGCCTGCACCGCAGCACCCACTTGCATCCCTTCAATCGCACCTACAACCGCACATGGATTTGCATCTGTGGATTACCATTGCTTGCTTACATGTCAGCCCTCTAGAATACCACTAGCTCAGCCACCCTCTATCTCTGATGGTTCCTTTGCCGTATCAATATCAATGCAAAGGCTGCTTGAGATACAAAACTAACACTGGAAGCAAAGTCACTCTCACTTGTTGGTCAGCTTCTGGTGTCGACTGGCCAGAGCATGGCATATCTGCAGCGCCCGCTTGCACCCCTTCAGCCGCACTGCTGACGCACCCCCCTCTACTCCCCCCTCTCCCTCCCCATCCATCACTTCCCCCTCCTCCTGCCCTGCGACCGCAGCGGCGGCGGCGAGGTTGGGCGGGCAGTGTGAGAGCAGCAGCAGCAGCTCTGGGACTATGCTGTCTATGTGCTTGCGGATGGCCGACGGCATGTGGCTCTGAACCTGTGGGTGGGAGTGGGGCAAGGAGGGTCACAGGATGGGGAGAAAGTCAGGATATAAGAGATCAGCAGCAGCAGCAGCAGCAGCAGCAGCAGCAGCAGCAGCAGCAGCAGCAGCAGCAGCAGCAGCAGCAGCAGCAGCAGCAGCAGCAGCGACAGAAGCAGCTGTGGACTATGCTGTCGATGTGAGCAGGGGAGGAAGTTGACTTGAGAGAGAACCACTCCCTCCCCCATAGGCATACTCACGAAGAGATGGAGGGCTTTTGAGAGCGGGGCTTGAAGCAGAGGGGAACTTTGTCCAAGGGTGGTGCAGGACGAGTTGACAGAAGGACAAGGGGTGGGAGACACAAGGATGGAGGTGCGGTGCGGACAGGCGGACTCACAGAGAGGTGGAGAGTCTTGAGAATGAGCAGCAGCCCTTCATCCTGTGCGGATGGTGCTTGGGGGTTTGGCTGCCATTTGCTCACACACGGAGGCTGGAGGTGCAAATGGGTGAAGTGACAGAGAGGTGCAGTGACAGAGAGGTGCAGCCACAGAGGGGCACTCACAGAGAGGTGGAGAGTCTTGAGAATGAGCAGCAGCGCTTCATCCTGTGCGGATGGTGCTTGAGGGTTTGGCTGCTGCGCCTGAGGTACAGCGAGAGGAGAGGGGGGGCATGAGAGGCGTGCAGGCGAGATAGGGAAAGGAGGGGCATGAATGAATGGCATGAGCGGCAGCTATAGGTCCGATAAGTCAGATGTTAGCACGACCGTTGCATGCAGTGTCATTTGCCATGCTTGTTATGGCACACAACACATCACATCGCCCATCATGCAATCGGCCGCGTTGCAATAAGGCACTGCACGAGCCACATGAGCGGCGGTGGCAGCTCCGATGCATTCGCTTCGCTTCACACATGATCATGCCATGCCATGCCATGCCATGTGATGCCATGTGATGCCATGTGATGCCATGTGATGCCATGCCATGCCATGTCATGCCATGCCATGTCATGCCATGCCATGCCATGCCATGCCATCAAGCAGTCACACAAACCTGAGCCGCAAGGAGGTGATGCATGAGGGGCATGAGGGGCAGCAGCAGGTCCGATGCAATGGCTTCCAGCACTGGCGGCACCGGCTCCTTGTCGTTGGTAGGGTCGAGGAAGTACTGAGGTGACGAGGGGAAACGAGAGAGTGGAGAGGGGAGAAGCGCAGGAAAAAGAGCCTTGGGGTATCAAAAATGATTCCAGCACAGGTGGCACCGTGGCACCGTGGCACCGTGGCACCGCGGCACCGCGGCACCGTGGCACCGTGGCACCGTGGCACCGTGGCACCGTGGCCCCGTGGCCCCGTGGCACCGTGGCACCGTGGCACCGTGGCCCCGTGGCCCCGTGGCACCGTGGCACCGTGGCACCGTGGCACCGTGGCACCGCGGCACCGCGGCACCGTGGCACCGTGGCACCGTGGCACCGTGGCACCGTGGCACCGTGGCCCCGTGGCCCCGTGGCACCGTGGCACCGTGGCACCGTGGCACCGTGGCCCCGTGGCCCCGTGGCACCGTGGCACCGTGGCACCGTGGCACCGTGGCACCGTGGCACCGTGGCACCGTGGCCCCGTGGCACCGTGGCCCCGTGGCACCGTGGCACCGTGGCACCGTGGCACCGGCTCCTTGTAGCTGGAAGGGTCTATGAAGCTTTGAGACAATCATGGAAAGACATACCCTGGATGGTTGTTGAAGGTGTGAAGCGAAGGACGGCGCTTGTATCACTTGTTTGAAGTCTCAAAAGCGGTACAACCATGATCACCAGAGCATGGCGTACCCGGTATGGCTTGGTGACCGCGCCAAGGACTGTAAGTACGGTGACTGTAGAGAAGGATATGTTTTAGCATTCTCAAAATTATCCACCAGAGAAGGCCACAGCATACCCGGTATGGCTTGGTGATGGCACGGAGGACTGTAAGCACAGTGACTGTAGAGAGCGACTTCTAAAGCACCTCAAACGATATCACAGCGTACCCGGTATGGCTTGGTGACCGCACGAAGGACTGTAAGCACAGTGACTGTAGAGAATGTCGCCGCTGCTGCAGAGGCAGGATCCGACGGCCCAGGAGCAGTGGTGGAGGCAGAACCAACGGCTCGGATGAGATCGCTGGAGAGAAGCGCTGCCTTGAGCCCTGGGAGCAGTTGTGGCCAGCCGGAGGGGGACGCCAACTCGGTGCGAACAACAACAGAGAACTGATGGGGAGGGGAGGGGAGAGTTATGGGGAGGAGAAGGGAGGGCGAGGGAGGTATAGCGGCTTTGAGGGCCGGGAGCAGCTGGGGCCAGCCCGAGGGGGAAGCGAGCTCGGTGCGAACAACAGCTGAGAACTGATGGGGTGGGGGATTAGGGGAGGGGAGGGGAGGAGAGGGGAGGAAAGGGAGGGCGAGGAAGGCAGGTCGGCTTTGAGGCCCGGGAGCACCTGGGGCCAGCCGGAGGGGGAGGCTAACTTTGTGCGAACAACGGCTGAGAACTGGTAGGAGCAATGGGGATTGGGGGAGGGGAGGGGAGGGAAACAGGCTTGAGAAAGACAAAATAAATACTGCGAGAATGGAAACCAGCTGAACAGCTTTCAGTCACTGGCCGCAACGCTTGTTTGCTCCCTCTACAGTCACACACCGCTACAATAAGCACGATGAGATTCTTCCCCTGTGTGCACCGCAGTAGCACCTCCACCAGTTGCACCCGCACCGTTTGGTGCTCCCTCCCTGTGGCTGGTAAAGTCTCTCATATTACCTCTGAATACACCTGCAGGCGCATTCCCTCCTTTACAGTCACGTACCGCTTCGATAAGCACGCTCAGAATCTTCCCCTGGCCACATCGCAGTAGCACCTCCACCAGTTGAACCCGCACCGCCTCCTGCTCCTCCTTCCCCCCCGGCAGCTGCACCCGCCCCTTGCTGCCCGCTCCCCTCCACTTGGCCACTGCCACGTTCTTGAAATACAGGACCGCGGGGAGAGCTGCTGGGGAGTTGGGCACTGGAGGGGGAGAGGGCGGAAGGGGAAGGGGGAAGCGCAGAAGGTAAGGAGAGTTGGACGTAGTGGGCTTCATGCAAACGCAACAGCGCGCCAACTCCGCATTCTTGAAGCATAACGTCGAGGGAAGAGACGCGGGGAATGCGGGCACTGGAGGAGAGGGCGAGGGGACGGAGAAAGGGAGGGGTCATGTACCGTATGGGGTGACTTTTGAGAATTTACTTTAGTCAACACAGTAGAGGAGAAAGGTACCGTGCGGCGTGTTGATTCCAATTGCTGCGTTACAACTTGCAATGTGGTTGTGATCGAGGGCCGCGGGGACGGTACGGTCCAGATCTCGTAGGCACGGCTGAGCTCGCATCTTACGGTCGAGATCAGTTCGAAAGGGAACGAAAGGACACGTCTTCCCGCGAGAGAACGCACGGCGAGAATCAGAATGTGAATAAGGATAAGGGTGAAGAAGAGGCGAACGAAGAGGCGAACGTAGCTTGACCTAATTTGAGAATGTGGGTAAGTGTAGCTCGTGTCTAGAATGCGAAGTAAAGTGAACGGCGAATACGCGAACTGGGGAGCCGGGTGAGCAGAGGGGAAGTGTAATGGAAGGGAAACGGCAAATTCTGAGCACCTGCTGCGACGGAAAGCACGTGGCCCAGGAATCCCGGGTGCTTGGAAGCTTCCTCTAGCGCCGAGCTGGCGGATCGCACGGTCGCCTCGTCCGCGCTCGTCGTCTGCAGCAGCCACGCGCACACCGCGTCCGCGCTCACCGCCGCCATGCCGCCCGTTATAGTCACGCGTGCTGCGGAGGGTAGAGACGTGCGTTGGGTGCTGGGTGCTGCTAAATCTGCTATGGCGTTCTTTCCGAATTCGGGATTTGGGAAAGGGTTGAGGGTATGGGTTTGTGGTGTGTGAGACAGGCTGGATAGTTCCGATCTGATCCGGTACGAAATTCCCCGTTACTGGACGGATTATGGGACTGCCGGTCGTATAGTGTTTTTAGTCTTTTGAAATTTAAACAGGGCAGGAATGAGGTGGATGGCTAGGAACCCTTAGCACATTATAGTAATACATACGGTATTCTCCCTCTTTCACACTAGTGTACCTTTGTTGGACGATTTTATCAACTCATAACACACCTCCATTATTTTTCTTGCACACTCTACTCAAGAACGTCATGCATGCAATCTTGTATGGTACACTATCATTTACAACACATGGGTGACAAGAGACGGTGATTTTACCGCTTCTTGGGCGTCTGTAAACACCGGCCTCACTTTTCTGAACCTCTCCAAACCCAAAACCCTCAACTGCATCACCTCCGCTTCCTGGGTTTCTTCTTGAACACGGGGGTCTGCACCTTCTCCATGTACCGCGCCAGAGACCCCCTCAACCTTCCTAAACCCCTGAAAACCCTAAACCCTGAACCGCATCACCTCCCCTCCTTGGTTTCTTCTTGAACACGGGCGTCTGCACCTTTTCCATGTACAGCGCCAGCTCCAGAGGCATCCTAGGCCCCTCAAAACCCTAAACCCTGAGCTGCTTGCACACACACTACCTCCGCTTCTTGGGTTTCTTCTTGAACACGGGTGTCTGCACCTTCTCCATGTACAGAGCAAGCCCCAGAGGCATCCACTCGTTCAGCCCGATCTCCTCCCTTGTGTCCTTCTCCTTCTCTCTCTCCCTAAACCTGCCTCGACTGAATCTCTTCCGCTCAAATTTGTCCACTTCCTCTTGCCCCTCATGCCCCTCATGCCCCTCTTGCCCCTCATGCTCCTCATGCTCCTCTTGCGGCTCCTCTTGCTGCTCAAGCCCTGCCCGGCCAACGCTTCGCCCTTCTCTCTCGTCGCTCTGCCCTTCTCCTGCATCACCCTCCTCCCTGTCAAGCTCCGCCTCCTCCCCTTCTTCCCACTCTTCATTCCCCCCGTCGTCCCAATCACCGTCGCCATCATCCTCATCCTCTTCTCCTTCCTCTTGATCATCTTCCTCCTCCCCCTCTTCTTCCTCCTCGTCCTCCTCGTCCTCCTCATCTTCATCTCTTTCCCTCTCATCCTGTCCATCAAAACCCCATGCGTCATCAGACCACACCTCTGCACCCACTTTCCCCTCCTCTCCCCTCACTTCCCCTCTGCCCTCCCTACCCATCACTGAATCCCCCACCATCCTCTCCCCCTCCTCATCCTCCTCCCACCCACCCTCTTTCCCCCTTACCCTGATCTCACCCAACACACCACCTCCTTCCAAACCACCACCCCCCGCACCACCTCCCCCGAACCTCATCCTCACGCCTGGCCGAAGCTCATCCCGCAGACTCGGCAGCACATGCGCCTCCATGAACTTCCACAGCCTCGTCGCCGTGGCTCCGCCGAACCGAATCAGGTTCGGCGCATCCCACGGACTCTCCAAAGCCACCCTCCCCATCTGAGCCTTCCACCTCAACCTATCCCTCGCGCCTCCACCCTCCTCCTCCCCCTCCCCGCTCCTCACCACCTTCCTCGTCCTCTTCCCCGCTTTCCTCCCTCCTTTCTCCAGCACCCGCTGCCCCGGCCTTCTATACCTCATCTTCACGCTACAATCCCGCACCGACACGCACAGCGCACGGGCAATCCTCCTCAAATCCCGACTCGAGTACTGCTTCGCATGCAGAATTATCCCCCCGGTCTCCTCACACCGCCTTCCACTGTACATGTACCAGTGGGCGAGAGTCTTGGGGGTGAGCCAGCGCTGTATGAGCTTGGGAATGACGCGGGGCCCCTGGGGGTGGTAGCGCTGCGCGTGGTAGCGGAGGGCCGTGTGCGGGATGGTGGCGAAGTGACGCACGCGGATGGGACGCACCCCCGCTGCTGCTAAGACGTCGGCAGGTGGGGCGGTGGAGGAAGAGGAGGAAGGAGTCGGATTGGCTGCAGCGGCGGCATTAGCGACGGCGGCAGCGGCAGCGGCAGCATCGGGAGGAGCGTCTGGGGCGGGCGGCATGAGCAGGAGCATGTTTCTGGGCGGCGCACTCGCCCACGAGCCAAACGCCCTGTACAGCCCCTCCAGCAGCTCTACACGGCCAGGATTATCCAACGGCTGCTCGAAATGAATCTCGTACGTCCGTTCGTTGTCCTGCGTAGCAATCCGCGCCCCACCCAGCAGCACCCCTGCCAACACCTGCCGCTGCTCCTTACTCAGCTTCATGCTCCATGTCTCATCCCTCTCTACCCTCAACTTCCCCACCACAGCCTCCGCCGCTTCCCTCGCTGCCCCCACCAGCACCATACCAGGCTTCTTCCCCCGGTCCTTCCTGTTCCCGACCATGTCCAGATACAGCGAACGGACGGATCGAGTGTCGCCTGCTGCGCCGCATGCGGCTATGACGAGGTTGTAGGTGTGAGCGTCAACGCCAATGTCCTGGTTGGAGGTCATCTCGAGGAAGATTTTTTTCGCCATGCCCAGGTTGCCCGCTTTGGTGTGTGCTGCCAGGCGCAGGTGGTAGGACGTGCGGTCGGGGAGGCACCCTATCTGCATCAGAAGCACGGAATCGAGAACAGGTGAATTAAAAGTGAATAGAAGAAAAATTGCAAGAGGCGAAAACGGAGAGGAAGGGAAAGAGAGGCACAAAGCAAGGGCAGTGAACAACAGCGTCGTCGTGTGTAGAGAGTGAATGAAGGGACCAACCAACCCAGAGCCCACCTCCTTGATGCCTTGAAACCGTCATTCAAGGTCAGTCTGGCGTGACCGGTGAAGGTACATCCCAAAAGTCCGTTCTTTATTTAGCAACCTAAACACACCCTTAAAACACAAAACGAGCACACCCTTAAGGAACCCACCTCCTTCACGCCTTGAAATCGGCTCTCCAGGTCATTCAGGCGCGACTGGTGGAGGTGCATGTGCAGCAGCGCGGTCACAGCAGCAGAAACAGCAGCAGCAGAGTAACTGAATAGACCAAGCTAGAACGCACCTCTTTCATCCCCTGAAACCGCCTTTCAAGGTCATTCAAGCGTGACTGGTGGAGGTACATGTGCAGCAGCGCGTTCACAGCAGCAGTGAGCGGCCCTCTCTCCGCCCGCAGCATCACCCTGAAAAACCCCTCCGCCTCCTCGCCTCGCCTCTCCACCTCCCTCCTGCTCCCACCCGCCCCGCTCGCAGCCACTGCTGCTCCTGCCAGCGCTGCGAGGTGCGCATTGCACGCGCGCAGCCCAGGCAGATCCCCCCCCCCATCTGCTGCTGCTTCCCTGCTTCCCGTACACGTGCCCCGCGCTGCACGCTCCCACTCCCCCACCCTCCCTCTGCTTGCATCACCCATCACCCCCTCCTCGCCCTCCGCCCACTCTCCCGTCCCTCTCTTGATGGCCATGACATGCGGCCATGCAGCAATGCTCGCCTCATACCGCCCTGCATGGTTTAGTGTCTCCATATACGCTGCCCACACCCGCTCCCCCACCTCATACCCCCTCTCTCCACCTTCCTCGCCTTCCTTTTCCTTCCCCTCCCCTCCTCGCGTCCTCGCCGCCTCTTGCAGTTCACTCATGGCTGCACATGCATGGTCAGCCAGTGCTGCAGCAGGCAACTCCCCTTCCTCCTCTGTCGCTCCTCTATATGACCCCACTCCTTGCATCCCTGCCACTCCCCCTTTCTCTTTCCTCTTTTTGCTCAGATACACCGCCCGGGCGCATGCAAACACCACAGCTTCGACCGCCTGGGGCGGCACCGCTCGTCCCGATGCCGCCAGGTCGTCGCGCATCTGCTGTAACAGGGTTACCACCTTGCTGACGTGGCCCTCCCTGGCGTGATGTCGCACCAGCAACGCGTACATGTGGAGCAGAGGGGCCGGGCTGCGCTGCTGATTCTTCGCTTCCCTCCACTCTCTCGTTTCTCTCAGAAGCGATTCTGCCTTGTGCATGTGCCGCCCTCGCCACTTGGGGCTGGAGAAGGCCTGCAAGGGGGAAGGGGGAAGGGGAGGGGGAGAGCATCAGGTATTTGTTAGGTACGAAGCATGCAAATACACTATGCACAAATGGCAACCCAGTGATAAAAGCAAGGCAAAGCAACCCACTGATAGAAGCAAAGCAACCCACTGATAGAAGCAAGGCAACCCACTGATAGAAGCAAGGCAACCCACTGATAGAAGCAAGGCAACCCACTGATAGAAGCAAGGCAACCCACTGATAGAAGCAAAGCAACCCACTGATAGAAGCAAGGCAACCCACTGATAGAAGCAAGGCAACCCACTGATAGAAGCAAAGCAACCCACTGATAGAAGCAAGGCAACCCACTGATAGAAGCAAAGCAACCCACTGATAGAAGCAAGGCAACCCACTGATAGAAGCAAGGCAACCCACTGATAGAAGCAAAGCAACCCACTGATAGAAGCAAGGCAACCCACTGATAGAAGCAAGGCAACCCACTGATAGAAGCAAAGCAACCCACTGATAGAAGCAAGGCAACCCACTGATAGAAGCAAGGCAACCCACTGATAGAAGCAAGGCAACCCACTGATAGAAGCAAGGCAACCCACTGATAGAAGCAAGGCAACCCACTGATAGAAGCAAGGCAACCCACTGATAGAAGCAAGGCAACCCACTGATAGAAGCAAAGCAACCCACTGATAGAAGCAAGGCAACCCACTGATAGAAGCAAGGCAACCCACTGATAGAAGCAAGGCAACCCACTGATAGAAGCAAGGCAACCCACTGATAGAAGCAAGGCAACCCACTGATAGAAGCAAGGCAACCCACTGATAGAAGCAAGGCAACCCACTGATAGAAGCAAGGCAACCCACTGATAGAAGCAAGGCAACCCACTGATAGAAGCAACGCAACCCACTGATAGAAGCAACGCAACCCACTGATAGAAGCAACGCAACCCACTGATAGAAGCAAGGCAACCCACTGATAGAAGCAAGGCAACCCACTGATAGAAGCAAGGCAACCCACTGATAGAAGCAAGGCAACCCACTGATAGAAGCAAGGCAACCCACTGATAGAAGCAAGGCAACCCACTGATAGAAGCAAGGCAACCCACTGATAGAAGCAAGGCAACCCACTGATAGAAGCAAGGCAACCCACTGATAGAACCAAGGCAACCCACTGATAGAAGCAAGGCAACCCACTGATAGAACCAAGGCAACCCACTGATAGAAGCAAGGCAACCCACTGATAGAAGCAAGGCAACCCACTGATAGAAGCAAGGCAACCCACTGATAGAAGCAAGGCAACCCACTGATAGAAGCAAGGCAACCTACTGATAGAAGCAAGGCAACCCACTGACAGAAGCAAGGCAACCCACTGATAGAAGCAAGGCAACCCACTGATAGAAGCAAGGCAACCCACTGATAGAAGCAAGGCAACCCACTGATAGAAGCAAGGCAACCCACTGATAGAAGCAAGGCAACCCACTGATAGAAGCAAGGCAACCCACTGATAGAAGCAAGGCAACCCACTGATAGAAGCAAGGCAACCCACTGATAGAAGCAAGGCAACCCACTGATAGAAGCAAGGCAACCCACTGATAGAAGCAAGGCAACCCACTGATAGAAGCAACGCAACCCACTGATAGAAGCAACGCAACCCACTGATAGAAGCAACGCAACCCACTGATAGAAGCAACGCAACCCACTGATAGAAGCAAGGCAACCCACTGATAGAAGCAAGGCAACCCACTGATAGAAGCAAGGCAACCCACTGATAGAAGCAAGGCAACCCACTGATAGAAGCAAGGCAACCCACTGATAGAAGCAAGGCAACCCACTGATAGAAGCAAGGCAACCCACTGATAGAACCAAGGCAACCCACTGATAGAAGCAAGGCAACCCACTGATAGAAGCAAGGCAACCCACTGATAGAAGCAAGGCAACCCACTGATAGAAGCAAGGCAACCCACTGATAGAAGCAAGGCAACCCACTGATAGAAGCAAGGCAACCCACTGATAGAAGCAAGGCAACCCACTGATAGAAGCAAAGCAACCCACTGATAGAAGCAAGGCAACCCACTGATAGAAGCAAGGCAACCCACTGATAGAAGCAAGGCAACCCACTGACAGAAGCAAGGCAACCCACTGATAGAAGCAAGGCAACCCACTGATAGAAGCAAGGCAACCCACTGATAGAAGCAAGGCAACCCACTGATAGAAGCAAGGCAACCCACTGATAGAAGCAAGGCAACCCACTGATAGAAGCAAGGCAACCCACTGATAGAAGCAAGGCAACCCACTGATAGAAGCAAGGCAACCCACTGATAGAAGCAAGGCAACCCACTGATAGAAGCAACGCAACCCACTGATAGAAGCAACGCAACCCACTGATAGAAGCAAGGCAACCCACTGATAGAAGCAAGGCAACCCACTGATAGAAGCAAGGCAACCCACTGATAGAAGCAAGGCAACCCACTGATAGAAGCAAGGCAACCCACTGATAGAAGCAAGGCAACCCACTGATAGAAGCAAGGCAACCCACTGATAGAAGCAAGGCAACCCACTGATAGAAGCAAGGCAACCCACTGATAGAAGCAAGGCAACCCACTGATAGAAGCAAGGCAACCCACTGATAGAACCAAGGCAACCCACTGATAGAAGCAAGGCAACCCACTGATAGAAGCAAGGCAACCCACTGATAGAAGCAAGGCAACCCACTGATAGAAGCAAGGCAACCCACTGATAGAAGCAAGGCAACCCACTGATAGAAGCAAGGCAACCCACTGATAGAACCAAGGCAACCCACTGATAGAAGCAAGGCAACCCACTGATAGAAGCAAGGCAACCCACTGATAGAAGCAAGGCAACCCACTGATAGAAGCAAGGCAACCCACTGATAGAAGCAAGGCAACCCACTGATAGAAGCAAGGCAACCCACTGACAGAAGCAAGGCAACCCACTGATAGAAGCAAGGCAACCCACTGATAGAAGCAAGGCAACCCACTGATAGAAGCAAGGCAACCCACTGATAGAAGCAAGGCAACCCACTCCAACATCTGCTGCACCAGCCAGTCGGGGGTGCTGTCTCCCCCCCCCCCTTCCCTCTCCGCCATGCCATACAGCTCCCACACGCTCCATCCCATCATACCCCCTGCCCCTGCTCCACCCCTGCTCCATCCCATCATGCCCCTGCTCCACACCAACCCACTGATACGGAAGCTTTTGAGACGTCTCAAAAACACCCTCGCTTCACGTAGCACGCAAGGCAACCCACTGATACGGAAGCTTTTGAGACGCGCCCACCCCGAACATCTGCCGATCAAGCCAGTCAGGGATACTGCCCGTCCGTAGCAGCACCACCCACTCGCTTGCACGGATTCTCTCCCACCCACCAACCCACTGACACGGAAGCAGGCCAACGCACGCACCTCGAACATCTGCTGCACAAGCCAGTCGGGAGTGCCGCCCCTCCCCCCTTCCCGCTCCCCCATGCCATGCAGCTCCCACACGCGCTCCATCTCATCATGTGCCGACTTGAGCACCGCACCCATGCACGCCTGCACCTCCCACTCACTGTCAGCATTGGCACCCACTCACCCACCCACGCACCTCGAACATTTGATTCACGAGCCAGTCGGGGGTGCTGCCCCTGCCCCCCTCCCTCTCCCCCATGCCATACAGCTCCCACACGCGCTCCATCTCATCATGCGCCGACTTGAGCAGCGCCCCCATGCACGCCTGCACCACGCGCAGCGGCACCACTGATCCCACCGGTCCCGCCGGCCCCACCGGTCCCGCCACCTCCACCGCCCCCACCGGCCCCACTGTTCCCGCCGGCCCTGCTGTGGGGTGGTGAGGTGCCGTTTCAGTGGACTTAGAGGGCACACAAGGCATGAGCGGCTGGGAAGAGGGCCCTACACTGCCCTGTGCCTCTGGCGGTGCGTGGGGGTGGAAGGAGAGGCAGTGGTCGAGCAGGGCGAGCATGGGTGGAATGCGGTGCGTGCGCGCTAGGAGGAGGAGGAGGGAGGAGAGGAGCGGAGGGGAGGGAGAGTAGAATGGCTGCTGCTGCGCCCACTGGAGGATCTGGAAGGGAGAGAAGTAGAGAAAGGAAGGGGAAAAAGAGGTAAAGGGGAGGAGAGAGAGAAAAAGAGGGTTGGGTTGAGAGAAAGAGAGCGCATGATGCAGATGCTGTGCCGATTTTCTGTGTCTGAATTCGATAGAAATTGCCCACCCACTCACTGTCGCCCCGCTCCCTGCTTACCCTGTGAGTGAAAGTCTTCCCCCCACCCCAACCCCACATCACCAGCCACTGCGCCTCCCCTCACCTCACCCACCCATCATAACACTCCCTCCCAATCCAACCACCCCTGCCATGCCACCCGCTCCCTCCCTCCTTACCCTGTATGCGCGAATGCCATCACCCCGCCCAATCATACCCTCCACCAGCCACTGCGCCTCCGCCCACCCAATGCGCCCCTCCTTCCCCGCCCACCCAATGCGCCCCTCCTTCCCCGCCCGCCCAATGCGCCCCTCCTTCCCCGCCCGCCCAATGCGCCCCTCCTTTCCCGCCCGCCCAATGCGCCCCTCCCTCCAGCGCCCTCCCCAGCGCCTCCCGACCACCAATGCCACCCTGCTCACCCCTTACCCTGTAAGCGCGGATGCCGTCCCCTCGGCCAATCATACCCTCCACCAGCCACTGCGTCTCCGCCCACCCTATCCGCCCCTCCCGCCCCGCCCTCTCCAGCGCGCGCCCCAGCGCCTCCCGCCGCATCCGCGCCAGATTGTCGCGCAGCCTCTCCATCTCCCGCCCAGCGGATGGGGAAAGCTTCTCCGCGACCTCCCCGCTCTTCCCTCCGGCGGACCCGCTACGTTCTTTCCCCCGCGCGCCCTGCTCTCCCCCCGTCGACTGTGCCCCTGCGCGCCCGTCATGCCTTCCGCCCCCGCTCAAACTCCCCCCTTTCCGCGCGCCGGTGTTTCTTCTTCCCCACCCGTCCACATGCTCCGCCGCCTTTTCGGCACCCTTTTTCCGCCAGCTGCCTGAATTCCCCCCTCCCCATCTTCCGCCGCCTCCCCTTCCCCCCGCAGCCTCTGCAGCTGCGGATCGCTCCCGCAAACCCTCCGCCGCTGCGAATCTCCCTCCGCTGGGCAGCCCACGCGGGGAGAAAACTTGGGGGGCGATCGGCGAAAAGGCTGAGGCTTGCGCGTCATAACTCCCACGCGGGAATGGAGGGAATTGCGTGACGCCAAGAGGAGGGGAGACTGGCGATAGCAGCCGACGCGACTGTATATGATGCGGGAGAGAGGTTTTGGTTGATGATTGAGCATACTGAGTCAATTGGGTCAACCGGGTCAACCGGGTCAAATGAGTCAAACGAGTCAACCGATCTGACTGAGTTGACAGAGTCAACGCATCATAGGCAGGTGTCGCTGCCGTCGTGCGATCCCCATTGCGCGCCGCCGCGCGGCGATGCCGCGGCGGGGCAATCGAATTCCGCCAGCTGGCGGCCGGAGATTCGGCGACGCTGCACCGACGCCAAGCGCGGCAAAACGCGATTGGCCAGGCGGTTCCACCAGAGACTCGCATCGCCGCCGTGGCTGGCCCTGGCTGGTGCTGACGTGGCTACTGGTTGTTGGTGTGTCTGAACGCGCCTCGTCCCCCATTCAACAATTCGAAACGAAGTAAGAAGAATTCTGATCCTATCCCAAGACGCAGCGCATTATGGTCTGGATTGGCCGTGCAGTGGCAATGATCAGGGCCGCATTATCGAAAGCATGACACGTGGCGATAATAAAACGAAGCGCGGTTCCACCAAACCGCGCAAAACTCTCCTCGGGCCTGAATGGCTGCATCTGGCTGGATGTGTCCTGGCGGTCAGTTTATTGCTGGTTCAAATGGTTGTTCTGTATTGGTAAATAGAAAGCTACACTTTGACTCAGATACAATGGTTATGGTCGCATTCGTGCCACATTCGTGAAGAGTATGACCCGCCGCGCTGAAGGACGCGTTCGTACCACGTGGAAGCTGCAACGATGAATGGTGGTGAACAGATCCTGCTGCTGTCACAGCTCGATCAGAGAACATACCAGTACAGTACCGAATCTTCAGGGTGCGTCTCAGCTCCACAGGTTACACTGGTCACGAAATTCGTTGAGGCTCTTCGTCAATGGGCCTCGCCGAAGCACCAGCACCAACCAACACCCAAATGCTTTACGTGTGAAAGGCTCGGAACGGAATCAGAACAAAAATCCGTCGCTTCTGTACGGGTATTGGAAGGAGTGCGTGGCATGGCATGTCACAACGGCCACCTACCTTCCTGACGCGGCACGAGTCCGTCGTAGTGAAGAATGTCCGTTTTCCATGGAGTACGTACCTACCTACCGCTCAATCACCACCATTTCTTCTCATCTCGTCCAACGATCCTACCTAGCTATATTTTGCATTGCAACCTACTCCTATCTTAGGATCATCGCGTTTCTATTAGATTCGGTATTCTAAACGCGTGAAAATTAGTTCTATTCTGCAGGCCAGGGAGCGTCTTAGCTGGAATTAGTAGTGCTTACCGTTGATTCGTCGTACATCGAAGCTGCGCTGATACTCGCCTTGTTTTCCGATGAATAGCCAAGCCTACTATTTCCTCGCAGCGATGAAAAGCATTTCCATTAATCATCACTACTAGAACGATCAGCGCCGGAATTGCAATTGCGATCAGCTTTTCGACAGGCGAACACTGTTAGCGACTGGCGCAGTTCTCGTACCTGAAGTAACCTGCCATGATGTTTTCGCCACGTTCTCGCCGTGTATCACTACTATCGCTACTGGCGACAGCAACATCGATGCTAGTCCTTGCCACAGTAACGCTCCTGCTGCCTTCTCGAGCTCTTCCTCTTTTCTCTTAGTAGTCCCCGTCTCCCATCCCCGTTCTCGCCCTTTCTTGCTCTTCCGCGGCCATCCACTCGACGCAAGGCTGTCGCTCAATGCACGATGATGCTGTCGCTCAAGCCAATTGTGTCGGCTAACGCAAGTCGCGCAAGCCTGTCGTCGGTCGTCCCCTGACCATTGCTTGCTTTCTTCCCCCTGCTTCGTCCTTCCTTGCTGATCCCATCTTTGAGGCGCATCAACACCATTCAAGCTGTATCTACTTCTTCATTTCCCACTGATCCCGCCTCTCTTCGCTCCCCCACATTTCCCATCTCACACATGCCGTTCATCCCTCAATAGTCAAGTTCATCCCGTTTATCGAGCCCTCAATTCCTCACTACGTTCTGATCCCCCGTTCTCCCAGGTGCTCCAGTCGCGTCTGACTATAGCGAGTACAGATTCGTCCCCCGCGCACGTGGACTTTGAGTACTCGGACACGCTCTGCGGCACGGCGTGGCGGGACGACTACATCCGCCTGCACTCCGCCATTCGCACCGCCAGTGCCGCGTCCTACACCCCGCCTCCCTCTCCCCCTCCCCCTCCCTCCTCCCGCCGATTGCTCTCTCTCGCAAATTCCCCATCACCGCTACCACCAACCGCAGCCGCCGCAGCAGCAGCAGCAGCAGCAGGCGCAAGCCTGTCAAATCAAACCCTCCCGGATTCCTCCGTTCGCTTCCTCACGTTCGACCAGGCCGGTCACTGCGGGGGTTTCGGGGACTTTCTAGTAGGCCTCGTCTCCTCCTTTGTCGCCGCACTCTTGGACCGCCGGGCGTTTGTGATCCGGCACGATTGCATCCAGTACGCGTTTGAGCCCGCATTCATCGACTGGCGCCCGTCCGCTGATGTTCCCATGGATCCTTCTCGCCGCACGAGTAACCTGAACGAGTCGTTTTCGCCGGGGGAGGTTCCGTTTCTGGATTTGAACGGGAATCGGGTGGATTTGCGGGTGTTAGAGAGGTTTAAGGATTTTCGGAACGTGAAGGTGCTGTGGAACCGCGGGATATTAACGGAGATGCTTACAAACGGAACGGGCGAGTGGGCGGACGCGCTCAGGGCGACGGGTTTGCGCCCACCGTACGCCTTCGGCTGCATTCTCAGATTCCTCGTCAGGTATGCCTCATAGTCAGGTATGCCTCATTGTCGGGTATGCCTCACTGTCGGGTATGCCTCATTGTCAGGTATGCCTCACTGTCAGGTATGCCTCACTGTCAGGTATGCCTCACTGTCAGGTATGCCTCACTGTCAGGTATGCCTCACTGTCAGGTATGCCTCACTGTCAGGTATGTACGCCCGTGCATTGCATTCAGGTGCATTGGCATGGGATGCATTATTCTGTGATTCATTGCCAGGTATGTGCATTGAGGCGACTCAAAAGTCAACTCGCTACAATGTCACACAGTGGTGCCTCCACTGCCCCACCAGCCTCAGCTGACGCGACGACTCGCTCGCAGTGGCTTACCCACGACGCTGCTGCTCGCCTAGCCATTCGCAACCACCTGCCGGTAGCTGAATGCGAGCATTTTGACCAGACGAAGACTGCTAAGAACCTCTACGACGCTGTAGTTGCCCACTACTCTTCCCCTGCCACTGCAGCGCTTAGCCGCCTCTTCCTGCCCGACCTCTTCCCTGACCTCTCCTCCTTCGCCACTGAAGACGATCTTCTCTCCCACCTTCGCGCTACGGGCGCTCATTACCGTGCTGCCCTCCGTGCCGAGTTCCTGCCCAAGAACGAGCCCCCGATCTAGACGCAGTGGTGCTGCCATCACACTCGCACGTCTCCCCGCTACGATCTACATGCCCCCTTCCCACCACCCCTCCCCACCACCCAATGCCCCCTCCCCACCACTATATGCCCCCTCCCCACCCCTCACTGCAGGCCCAAGAAGGAGGTATGGCCGCTGGTGGCGCGGCTGCTGCAGGAGATGCGGGAGGTGCGGACGGTGGTGGTGTGGTGGTGGGGGTGCACGTGCAGCCGAACACTCACATCTCTTCCCCCATTCCCCTTCTTCCCCTCCCCTCTCCCCCCCTGTCCCACCCTCGTTCACCCCACTCCTCATTCCAGACCAAGGAAGGAGGTATGGCCGCTGGTGGCACGTCTAATGCAGGAGATGCGGGAGGTGCGGACGGTGGTGGTGGGGGTGCATGTGCGGCTGAGCGACAGTGTGGTGCGAGACCCCCACGCCACCACCAGCAGCGTCACCCCCGCCTCCATGGCTGCTGCCATGGCGCAAGCTGCTCCCATCCTCGCCTGTGCCAAGGTGAGCCTTGTCCTGAGGCCCATCGCCTGAATAATTTCTAGAAAAATCGCCTTGAAATATGTCAAATAGATGGCTCAATAAACAGCCAAGAACGTGGCCTGTGTTATCGTGTCAAGGCTGAATGGTGGTGGTGGGGGTGCATGTGCGGTGCGGTTGAGCGACAGTGTGGTGCGAGACCCCCACGCCACCACCAGCAGCGTCACTCCCGCCTCCATGGCTGCTGCTATGGCCCAGGCTGCTCCCATCCTCGCCTGTGCCAAGGTGAGTGAGACTTCTCCTCACTTTCCTCACTCCATTCTTCCCCTTTCCTCCTTCGTTTCCTCCCTCGCCTCCATGGCTGCTGCCAGCCATGGCGCACCCTGCTCCCATCCATCCTCGCCTGCGCCAAGATGAGCCTTCTTCTGTGGCGTTTCACCTGAATATGCTTTTTTTTTTATTCTCAAAGAACAATAACGCCGTAAAGTTGCCTTCAAGAAATGGCAAAACTTCCTTGGAGTTTTGTCATCGCTCAATGACATCTTTCCATCATCGTCCCACCATCATCCCACCATCATCCCCCAATCGTCCCCCCATTGTCCCACCATCACCCCACCATCACTCCATCTCCCCACCATCACCCCACCATCACTCCATCTCCCCACCATCACCCCACCATCACCCCACCATCATCATCACTTCCTACCCCCTCTTATGACGAAAAGTTTCATCGCTTATGGCACCGCCATGCCCCCCTCCCCCTCCCCATTCTGTCGCTCTCCCCCCCAGGCAGTGGAGCAACCCTGCCTCTCTCTGCCCTTTCTCAATGTGCCCACCCCTGCCTCTTACCCCCTCTTATGGCGAGAGTTTCATCGCGACAGGCACCGCCATGGCCCCCTCCCCCTCCTCTTTGCATTGGTTTCCCCGCCAGGCAGAGGAGGACATGTAGTACCCCCCGCCTCTCATCGTACGGTGGATGCTCATCACATCATCTCACCATCATCTGAACCACCACCCCTCTCTCTCGTCTTCCTCCCTCTTTCACTCTGCCAGGCAGTGGAGGACATGTGGTACCCCCCGCCTCTCACAGTGCGCTGGATGCTCATCACCAATTCAATTGACTTCAAAATGGCCATCCGGTCCCACTTTCCCGGCAAGGTCAGTGCCCCTGCTCTCTGCAGACGAGTTCTGGGAGTCATACGCATCAGAGACCAAAGTTTAGTCGGAGTTATAAGTCATATCAGAGATGCATGCATGCTCATAATCAACCAACTTTATTGGCTTCAAAATGGCCATCCGCTCGCATTTCCCTGGCAAGGAGCATGCCTCTGCTCTGCGCTTGCTAATCGATTTCAGGAGTTCCATAGGAGTTAAAAGTCATATCAGAGATGGATGCTCATAACATAACCAACTCTATTGACTTCAATCTCACTGATCACCCATCCATTCATCAACCTCTCCGCTTCAGCTCTCCACTCCCCTTAACCCACCTGTCCACCCCACTGCCCATAACCCACCCCTGCGCTCCCCATGGGTCTACAGATTCTCAAGACAGATTTCGTGCCGCGGCACTCACAGGCATTTGGTGACAAGGACCAGGAGCAGGCAAAGAAGGAAGCCGAGCAGGGCTACCGGGAGATGGTGTCATCTTGCAACTCATTTTTCTCACAATCACAGGGTTTTCGCGCACTTCCCATAACCCACCTGTCCATTCCGCTCCCCATGGCTGCTGCAGATACTGGAGACGGATTTCGTGCCGCGGCACTCACAGGCGTTTGGTGACAAGGACCAGGAGCAGGCAAAGAAGGAAGCCGAGCAGGGCTACCGGGAGATGGTGGCCGAGTGGCTCCTCCTGTCGTCTAGCAACTCCTTTGTTCTCACCATCTCAGGGTTTTCGCGCACTGCCGCTATGTATTCCCTAAGACCAATGGCTATTTACACGCCACCTCATTACTGCGACCCGGAACAGCCACATCAGCAAACGGATTTCGGGATTTCATACAGTGGAATTTAAGATGCCCTATTATCTTGTATTATACTACCACTTCAACAAAAGAAAGAGTACAGTACTGGTACCCCTGCGTCTGAAGACCTTTAGTGTGAACGAAAACCAAATCCCATGATGGCGAACTTATGGCTGCTGGACAGTAGGAGCGGCTGGGAGCTCCCCAGACGTCCCAGAAAGTGGGCGATGGGCATCTTACCATCGTTAATGGCCGCACAACTGAATGAATACCACCCACAATGTCAGAATGTTATATTGTCTAGCCTGCAGTGGGGTACTCTATAGCGAGTACAGCCCAATCTAGGGTTTGCTATTTGTACTCAACTGCCTGCTAGTTCAAACCCTCTTTCTGTTCCTAACTTCTGCCTAACTTGTTTCGACATGCTATCAGAGCAGGTCGACCCTCCTGGGTCGATCCTGTGGGTGGGCCCGCCACCTAATGCTTCCGCTGCTGTCCTGCTTATCGCGCGCCTCGGGCGTGCGTCGTCTTCTTCCTGCCGTGCGCTCGGGGCGCGCGGCGGTTTTCTGCCCGCCGTGCGCCCCGAGGCGCGCGGCGGTTTCCCACCGTCGAAGCGCCCTCCCCCCGTCGCCCGTCGAAGCGCCCCCGTCGCCCGTCGGAGCGCCCCCCGTCGCCCGTCGAAGCGCCCCTGGGACCCGCGCGCGGCCCGTACGGGCTGCGCCAGGCCCGCGCGCGGCCCGTACAGCCCGCGCGCGGCCCGTACGGGCGGCTCCAGGCCCGCGCGCGGCCCGTACGGGCTGCGCCAGGCCAGCGCGCGGCGCGGGCAGCCTGCGCGCGACGCGGGCAGCCTGCGCGCGCCTCGTCCGTCCCCCTCTCGCCGTCCCCCGCGCTCCTGCCCCTATCCCACCCGTTTTAGGGTTTGGGGATGTGGAGTGTGGGGTGCCGGGTGTGGGGGTGCCGGTTGTGTGCCCCGTCCCCTCCTTCTCCTCCTCCTCCGTCTCCCGCTGCTGCAGCTGCCGCTCAGGGGGGTGGTTGTGTGGGGAGCCGAAGGAGTGGTGCTAGGGGGGTGAAGGGGGAGTGGAGCTAGGGGCGCAGCAGGGGGTGTGTGTCGAGGGGTGTGGGACTGTTGGGGGAGATTGAGTGGAGGTTGCCGTCGTGTCGTCCGCAGCGCCTGTATTCCGGGGTTCTGATAGCCACCGGTAGCTCAGAGAGCCGGTTGCACCTGTCGCCCGTGGGTCCGTTGCTCCTGTCGCTGCTGATCAGACGCAGAGCCAGTTACTCCTGTATTCCGGGGCACTTGCTCCCGGTAGCCACTAGCGTTGCACCAGAGCCGTCTGTTGCCCGTGTGTCTGCAGCTTCAGTCGTCGCCTCCCATCTACTCTCCTCTCGCCAGCCCTCCTCCTCCTCACTTGCCCTCAGTGACTGCCTCTACCTTTGCTCATAATTTATGAACTATTGCTATTGTGACTGCTTGTTGTGCTGATTACACCCCACTTTGGCTATGGGGGTGTGTCAGAATGTTATATTGTCTAGCCTGCAGTGGGGTACTCTATAGCGAGTACAGCCCAATCTAGGGTTTGCTATTTGTACTCAACTGCCTGCTAGTTCAAACCCTCTTTCTGTTCCTAACTTCTGCCTAACTTGTTTCGACACACAATACCACCCACGACCAGGCCCCTAGTTTCGTTTTGAGGCACGCTGATCGATCAGCGTCTACCCCTACTGGAACTCTGTGAGTCAGCATGGCCCCAATTTTTTAGGCTGAAAATTCAGACAACCCAAAATTTTTAGGCTGAACTTTCAGCATGAGCTGTAACACTTAAGCTGATCATGCATATTCATAAAAACATTAGAATAGTGTTGAAATGTGAGGCAGTATGAATGAACTAAGGCAGGTTGGGTACAAATGTATAACCCTAAAATAATGGTACCCCTTAGTGGCTACCCAACTATAGCCTACACAAATATGCACAGCATATAGTTTGACACACACCAATAAGCAGAGTGGGGGAGAACAAGAGGTCACAAGACCAGTCAAGAAAGGCAAAACAAGCTCAGGGTGGATCACGAAGTCACCACACATTCCGAGCACAAGCAAATGGCCACAAGGCCAGTTCACATGCAGAGTTATGTAAGACAAGATATATATATATATGTGTATATATATATATATCGATCACAGTACACGCAAGGTCAAGTAGTGAGCAAGTGAGAGAAGGTAGGCACGAGACCAAGAACAGTGCAGTGACGCTGATGATCACTAGGCGGAAGTGCCTTGGTGAATATATCAGCAGTGTTGGCCCGCGTGTCCACGTAAGCAAGACGAAGCTGGCCACGCTGCTGCAGCTCTCGAGCAAGAAAGTAACGCAGAGCGATGTGCTTCGTTCTATGCTCCAGTCTGTGCTCCTGACACAAGGCGAGGGCTGCCTTGTTGTCGCCGTACAGAACTGGAGGAGAACGAGACCGCTCTTCCAAGTCAGTCAGCAGGTAGGTGAGCCAGCGTAACTCCAATGTAGCCATGGCTGTGGCGTAGATCTCAGCCTCACAACTGGAGCTGAGAACAGAAGAAGAGCGGGTAGACCGCCAAGAGACAGAGCCGGAGCCAAGGCTGAACGTGTAACCCTGTGACGATCGCTGCGTAGCCAGGTCGTCAACCCAAGAGGCGTCTGAGTGTCCAGTGAGGACAACGTCGCCTCGTTCTCCAAGCACCAGCCCCATGCCTGATGTACTGCACAAGTAGCGCAACACCCTCTTAGCAGCCTCCCAGTGCTCTCGCCTGTGTCTCCCAGGCGCAACGTAACGAGCAAGGATGCTAAAGGGGTACGCCAGGTCAGGTCGAGTGCAGGTCATCAGGTACATGAGGCAGCCCACAAGCTCTGGATACAGGCCACTCGGCTCTACAGACTCGTCCGAAGGTGGAGCTGAGAGCGAGTGACCGGTAGACAGAGGAGTGGACTGTGGTGAGGAGAACTGGAAGCCGAAGCACTGAAGGACCTGCTGCACTATGTGTGACTGAGTCAGAGTGATGGTGCGGCGTGCTCTGTCCCGGGTGATCTGCAAGCCAAGGTAGCTGCGCAGCTCACCCAGATCAGTGCAAGTGTGTCTCTTCTGCAGCTCCGACTTCACAAGAGCGAGTGCCTCAGTGTCAGCAGTGGCGAAGACCAAGTCGTCAACGTACACGAGGATGTAGAACGACAACAGCGAAGTGTCGGTGCGCAAAAACAGCGACGGGTCAGCAGTGGACGGAGCAAACCCAAGAGCCGCAAGCGTCGTCCTCAGTGTGTCGTGCCACTCGTGAGGCGCTTGGCGGAGACCATAGACAGGGCGCCGGAGGCTCCATTAGGTACCAGGAGGGAACGACCCAGTGAAGCCAGGTGGGCAGCGCAGCCAGATCTCCTCGTGCAGGCTGCCTTGCAAGAAAGCTGTGCTGAAGTCAAGAGAGTGAAGCTCGTAGTCACGCTGAGCGGCAACGTGTAGCAGCACCCGAAGAGTGGTCATCTTCGGGGTAAGGGAGAAGGTCTGGAAGAAGTCAACTCCCTGTCGCTGACTGAAGCCTCGAGCAACGTAACGAGCCTTGAAGACATGCGGAGAACCCACACGACCAGCAAGAAGTACCGCTCGCGATCCTGTCCCTGGACGCCGGCTGGGCCCCACTCGTCCATGTGGAGAGTCTGCAGAGGGGCAGTCGTCGGGGGAAAGGAGGAGGAGTGAGGAGCGGCGCGCTGCCGCCCCTCGACGCAAGGAATGCAGGGCGGGGCAGGCAAGGGTGGGAGGGGAGGCAGAGACCTGGAAAGACCGGAGACCAGGAGACGAGAGTGCATGCCACGAAGTCGTGGCAGGGAAGGGTGACCGAGGCGGTGGTGCCAAAGGAGAGTCTGGTGCGACAGGTGACGACACTCGCAGGGGGGAGCTACCTGACCTGACGCGGCCACTTGACTAGACGTAGCAACTTGGGGAGGCGTAGTAGACAGGGTGTAGAGACTCGACCTAGGCCGACGGGTGAACGTGGCCAGGTGGCGGCCCGTCCGGGAGCACGTGCAGATCGCCACACGCTGCCATGCAGGGGTAAAGGTGTCAACCCGTGCATCCTGGAGGGCTGCGTTGCTCACCAAGTTTGTCGAGAACGAGGGGAGGTGGAGACCTGATAGTGAGCTGAACAGAACCGCACGACACGGGAGTACAGTGGAGGAACGTGCAAGCACCGGACCCCCAGAGGGGTTAGCCAGGGAGATCGCAATCGGTCTAGGCAGCGGTGTGAGTGCGGTGCTGTCACAAAAGAAACAGCGGGAAGCACCTGAGTCAAGTGTGAAAGTGTGCAAGGCCACAACAGGCGCAGCACCTGAGAGAGCAGACTCACTAGCACCTAGAGCAGTAGCCTCTATACCTGGGTCAGGCGACACACACAAGTAACAGTCACCCTCAGCACTAACAGACAATGCATACATGGCAGTAAGGATAGCATCATAGTCAAGAGCAAAGATATCAACCCCAGCCCTAAGCAGCTCTGCCGAGCACGGGATCTCTGCGTCCACGCCAAACTAAGTGCGCCAGGCGTCCTCTAGGCAGAAGAAACAGCGGTGCTGGGTGTGAAACTTCCCGCACGTCTGACCAGCGCGGTCACCTGTGTGAATAAAGTACTGGCAGCGGCCACCACCCCTAGACGCCCCACGCTGAGCGTACCACTCACGAGCTTGCTGGGGTGTGAGCCTCTCACGCGGACGCTGCAGCAGTTGCTGGCGGTGACCTGCTCCAGCCCGACTACCACCACCGCCGCCGCCGCTGCCAACACTGCTACCCCCGCCGCCGCCGCCGCCGCCGCTGCCACCAACACCCCCACTGCCGCCCCGGCCACCACCACCGCCACCGCCGCTGCCACTGCCACCGCCGCCAATGCCTCCACCCCCACCACCACTCTCGCCACCACCGCCACCTCCGCCTCCTCCACCTCCTCCACCACCACCGCCTCCACCACCACCTCCACCACCCTTGCCACCCTTGCCCTTGCCGCTGCGGCGCTTCCCACTAGGAGCAGAAGCAGCACCAACTTCCT